AGCTTAACCTCTTTTCGACGGAGCGCACATTGAGATCAATGTAAAGCGCAGTCAGAAAAGGTGGTAGCTTGGAGGGAATTAATTAGGTATAACACACTATGAGAATTTTCAGACGCTGCATTATTGTATCCTCTTCTTGCCCTCTTCGAGATGACCCAATCGGACGTTACTTGCACCACGCTCACGAGGCACAAAGCTCCCTATCACTTTGTCTTTCATAACGCTACCCATAGTCTCTTGATAGCCTTCTTGAGCCCAACGAGGGGTGTTGAGCTTTGGCCAATTGACCTGAAAAGATACGGAGTCAGTAGGCTCCGGCTTGGGGGCTCCGGCTACTTACGTATAGCATGCCATGGGTCCAAATGAAATGCCCACACCAGCCACCAATGACCATCCACAACAAAGCGAACACACGCAAAGGCCAAACAGTCGTTTCTGGTTGGGTTCTTGTCAGGGAGGTAACCATGACCAAGAAGAAGCTAGCAGCGAACAGATATGGTATGGCTTGAATCAAGATTGGTCGTCGATCCCTGAAGACAAGGTTGGTATCAGTGATGGACGTCGAAGGCAGATATGCGCCTAGAAACAGATCAAATGCATCCTGACGTGGCCCGTCTCCGAAGTTGTTTTTGACATAGCGAGTGATGGAGTTGTTCATATCTTGAGCCATCCCAGCCCTTGTCCTCTCGCCAGTGCGCGTGAAGTCTGTCTTAAGAGCTCCAGTCCCGGAGTATGATTTTGACACGACATCAGCATTGTCTGCCCAAATGTTTCGGAATAAGTCCTGGAACGACTTGTCGTCATCAGCAGACTCCCCTGGCTTCAGAGCACCAACGTCAGTCAGTTGCCGCGTCAAAGTCCAGCGACCGAGCATTGTTTGAACGACGTTCGTCCGGTCTAAGCAATCCATGCAGTTCGTTCGAACCACCGCTGTTTGCCGATTTCGTACCTCCAGACGGCCCTGTGCATCCGCCGGCATGTCCACACCGCGGAAATACTGGCCCTCAGTGAGACCCTGCTTTAACTGATCAAGCAGTAACTGGGCGCGATGCCACTTCAGTCCCTTGGTCTCGTTGTGAAAATCGAAGTAAACATAATGAAGTCGGTCGTACTTCTGATTCTTCTGGCTAGCCTCCACGACATGTATCTTCTCCTCCGTAACGTAGTCTGCCTGCGTTGCTTCATCTGGCGAGGAGACCAGAATTCGTACCATCTGCTCGTAGGCTTTCTTGACTCGATCTTCACGACCTTTTTGGTTGACGAGGTTGACAAGGTAGTTGTCACCATACAAGCTTATTTGCTCGTTAAAGTGGTGCCGTGCAGCCTCCACAGCTGTCTCTACCCCGCGTATTTGAAGATTCGGGACGTATTTCAACGAATTCACCTCTGCCCAGTAGACCGGTACGCTTCCCCTTGTTTGGACATAAGACATGACTTGTGTGTCATAACCTTCACTTCCTCCCACTTTGCCGTTCTGCATACCTTCACCACCAGCGAAGCCTCCTAGATCTCCTGTCTCGTCGTTCAGGATCACAATCTGCTCCGTCTCATTGAAGTTCGCAACATGCCCTTGATCATCAATGCCACGAGTAAGATAGCGAGTCCCGGCTCTGTACCTGGATCTTCTTGTGATTAGTGTAAACGTCAACGGAGTTGCCTTGACGCGGGTTTGTGTGATTCTCAGCATTCCGAACATGACAGGAAGGATGAAGGGGTCGGCTCCAGCCTGCTGGCCTCCACGGAGTCCGGAACCACTTCCTGCACCATTCGAGAAGTCTATGAGGTCTGACTGAATAAACTTGTTCCAGAAGAAGCGGTCGTCTGCTCTCTTCCATATTGGCTGTGAGGGATTTGATTGGGCTTGACGTTGAAAGCTGTTGGTGATGTCGAAGGAGTATGAGAAATACATGGGTCCTGTCTTCAGCAGAGTTCTAAGTAGGCTGAGGTAGGTGTCTTCATCTGGATCATGGAGTGCGCGCTCGCGCAGTGGAAGGAATTCGGTGGAGATGACTTTGTAGACCATGTGCCCTTTCAGGCGACCCATTGGCTGTGCTTTTGTGATTACTATTATGTACTTGTCTGCGGTTCTATCAGCACCGTCTTTGCCTTAAAGGTGAAATACATATTCACCTAATCTCAGCTTGATCATGCCGAGTATGCCCGCAATACTCGACACCCTTTTCGCGCCCAACAGCGCACCATCATTGAGTCGTAAATCTCCAGAGGGGCGTTCAACTACCAGCGTCTGGGCCGAAGGGGAGGAAGGAGACGTGAAGGCGTAATGTGAGGAAGAGGCATGGACGTTAATGTCTCTGAAAGGAATTAGGCTACGCATTGTGGAAGTCGGTCGTCCGTGAAGCGGAAGTGTTTCGGAGTAAAGAGAAGAAGCTACTTCTCAGAAGCTGAGAAGGAGGCTTGATCGCTATTGTGTATCATCGTGGACGTATTCGGTGCGGTGGTTGCGAGGGTGAAGCTGCCGCACAGAGTCGCAGAGTTGCAGGTCTTGGCAGAATCAGCCCTACAGACCTCGTCATTTGATGGTCACGCTAAGGCACCACCCGTTCTTGCCTTTCGAAGGCCTCCATTGTCTCCATTTTCGAGCCTCCTAAGACTTTAAGACGTCCCTTCAGCCGCATTTAGAGCTGTAATATTTGATACTATCTAAGACCTACCACAAAGTCCCGGCAACATGTCATCCCGGGTCTCCACTGGCGCACGGCCAGGAGCTCGGTTTGCCCAATTCAAGCTTGTTTTGCTTGGTCCGTACATCCAGCCGCTTGCTGCTCCATTCAAAGACTGACCATACTGTAGGAGAGTCTGCAGTAGGAAAGGTTGCTACTTCATTTTGAGCCACATCTAGCACACAGAAAGCTGACGCTTGTCCATTAGAGTTCTCTTGTCCTGAGATTTGTCAAGGTCAGTTAACCAACAGCTGGTTCTTCTGCCGCCACAACGAAATCGAGGTGCGGAATGATTGCTGATTCGTCTCAAGGATCAATTCGATGACTACAGAGAATCTACTATCGGAGCTGCCTTCCTCACACAGACCATCTCCCTCGACGACGCCACGACTGTCAAGTTCGAAATATGGGATACGGCAGGCCAAGAGAGATACAAGTCGCTTGCACCGATGTACTATAGGAACGCAAACTGTGCAGTCGTGGTTTACGACATCACACAAGCTGTATATGCCCTGCGCGAAGTCCGCCCAAGCCCTGCTAATAGGAAGGTAGTCGTCCCTGGATAAGGCAAAGTCATGGGTAAAAGAGCTCCAAAGGCAGGCAAATGAGAACATCATTATCGCTCTAGCAGGGAACAAATCAGACCTCGTTGCTGAACATCCAGACAAGCGTGCTATCACAACAGCAGACGCCGAAGCATACGCACGGGAGGCTGGGCTGCTGTTTTTTGAGACATCAGCAAAGACGGCGGAGAATGTGCGAGAGCTCTTCACGGCCATTGCACGAAAGTTGCCTCTTGAACAAGCTGGAAACCGCGGTATGAGAGCGAATCCACGACAAGGGGTTGATCTGAGACCCGAGGCGCCTGGGACACAAGGTGGTGGAGCTTGCAATTGTTAGACGACTGTTGTGACCCTGCAATACGATCGATAAGTCCCAGTAGAATGATGCGGAGGTTCAATGGACTCGTCTTCAGGCGAGACGGTCTCGGATCGAGTGGAGGAGAAGTGCGAGCTTCGTTGAGATGATTGCTGAATCTTGAGCGAGTCCTTGGAGTCGGCGTTTCTGGCATGCTCTGCTCTCATGGCGTCTTTCGTAGGCGCATATTGATATCGTCGGTGCCGCATGGACCCTCTGTACCAACTAGAATCTTGACAGAACTTGTGCATCAAGGACAAACACAGTATGCAAATTTCACCGACACATTTACTGCCTCTCCGCACTGTCTCTTACCTATTCAGCGAATGTTGTTTTCTGAAATATGATAGGGTTTTGTTTCAAGTGTGGCCACATTCTGAATCATTTGTATCTGGCTCGTGGATCTGTATTTGTGGATATGGAGCTATGGAGCGCCGTAGATTAGCTCACCCGAAGCCCAAAGGTTTGCCTCCGAAAGCTGCAACGCCAACGACAACTTTTGCGTTCGGAAATCACACGACACAAATATTACCATCCATACTCAGCTCTGCCACTTCTAACTTCTGACGCCCATACCGTCCTACATTCTCTGTATATGCCTGAGCTTCTCTCATGATCTTTCAGCATGTTCATCGTTAACTGGTGTAAGCTGCCACCTAGCTTCTTTTTACTGCGATTGGATGGCCTGCTCCCCCTCTCTCTTCTGCCTACTTGCGATACAAGAGCTGACTCTTTGTTTGCTGCGGTAGTCTGGGACGTTCTCGCCTCTCTGGGGCTCCTCAATAAGCATGCCAAACTCCTCTTTCTCGGCCTAGATAATGCGGGTAAGACCACGTTGCTACATATGTTAAAGGTACGTCCTTCCGTATAGCTCTCATTCGCTGTCGAGCAGATCAGTCCGAGTTCGACAGGAGTGGACAAGCTTGAATTCTCCCGCTGACAGTAAACGTAGAATGACCGAGTCGCCATCCTACAACCTACTCTACATCCCAGTATGCTCCATCACGTCTACTATTGGCTCCCTACCGCATACTGACCCCTTCAGCCTCCGAAGAGCTCGCAATAGGCAATTGCCGATTCACAACCTTCGATCTCGGTGGCCATCAACAAGGTGCGTTTTGCGTCGCTGATGCCACTTTGACTGATGCCACTGGGGTCACCAACTGACACTTCTCTTTTTCTAGCCCGTCGTTTGTGGAAAGATTACTTCCCCGAAGTCTCCGGGATCGTGTTCCTCGTCGACGCAAAAGATCACGAACGCTTCGCGGAGTCGAAAGCCGAGCTCGATGCCCTCCTTGCAATGGAAGAGCTGAGCAAGGTCCCATTCTGTATCCTTGGGAATAAAATTGATCACCCAGATGCTATCAGCGAGGAGGACCTTAGGCATCAGCTGGGCATGTGGCAGACGACAGGAAAGGGTAAGGTGCCGCTGGAGGGTGTGAGGCCGATTGAGGTCTTCATGTGCAGTGTTGTTATGCGGCAAGGTGAGTGTACAAGACAAAGGACGAGCGGAGATAAAGCTGACTCTTTATTAGGGTATTACGAAGCTTTCCGTTGGCTGTCCAACTACGTCTAAGCTAAATGTCCTCTGCAACAACAGTCAAAGATAGACGAGGGGTGTTAAAGCCAAGCGATACCCAAAGACTGCAAGATAAATGGATCCATTTTTGATTCGTTGAAGTATTCATGCAAGAATCCTCCAGCGAAAACCCGTAGCGAATGTACAATTCACTTTCACCACTGTCTAATCACCACAGTATAGAATTTTAAGACACTTTTTTCCCAGCTTCAAGAGCGTCGGCCCTCTCTAGCCCCCCTTCAAAGGCATCAAGATCAACAACGAATCCTATGGTACTAAAGAACAAGAATGACCACGGCTCGTGTGGGTAGAAGAGGATGACTACTATGTATGGCTGGTGCCGAGCCAGATATCTACCATGGCCAAGGCCCACTAGTGTTGTTGGCTAGGCAACCCCTGTCAACTACTACCAAACAAATAATAAGAGCCCCGCGACCATGTGGCCCATGCCTAGCCAACACCCTGATCCACACCATATCCTTCATATCCATAGACCGGTCCAGACGCACTAATACTCCCAGCATCTATAACAGCCCCAGCCCTAGTAGCTTCAGTAGCAACAGACTCGTAATGATTCTTCTTCAAAATGGACCGAGGACCTAAACCACTCGTACCCCAGGTGACTGATTTGGATTCGATCGCTGGCTGAGAAGCTTGCTTCGGATTCGGAGACGGTAGTAGAAATTGTGGTGGGACCCTCTGTTCAGGCACACGACTCCCCGCTGAATAAGAAGCCCATATGGATTCCAACTGTGTTGTAGACATATTTCTCTTCACGACGTCCTTGTAGAATATGGCCTCCCGTGACTGAACTTCCTCGTACTCGATCTTCCTGATAATTAATCGTGATTTGTGTGCCTGTTCCATAGACACAAATGTCGAGTGTAGAGATATCCCAGTAACAGTCCCCCGAATGGCCTTACGCCGGAGCTCGAGATCTTGTAAACCTTTGAGAAACGCACTGTAGATCAAGTCTAGTATTGACGACTCGAGGATTGATAGGGGTGGGCCTCCGGGAAGACGATCACGGGCCCCGAAACGATATGTGATTTGTATCGTACGCTGATAGTACGAAGTGAGTGACTCCTCGGCATTCTGATGTAAGTCTTCGAGTTCTTCCGAAAAGGTAGTCGGAATTGTCTCGATAGACTTGGTAGGAAAGCGCTCTTTGAAGAGCGAGAGGAATCGATCCAATGACTCGCTGGTATGAGATCCGGCGAAAAGCGTACTGATTTCTGGTGAAGACTCTGCCCAATCGGCTGCGTCCCCCACAAGAAGTAGATCCACAGAGCTCAAATAGTGCTCCGGGGCAATGATTCCACTCCGAGAATCTCCTCGCAACTCAAACTCAAGACGCTTCAGCCAACGGGAGGCTGGTTCTGAACCGTCATAAGTACGACAAAAATCGAATGTCGGACGTGACTGATTCGGCATGACTGATGATGTGACTGATGTGATGATGTGACTGAACTGAAAGACAATGAATGACAGAAGTATGATCGTTCTTCAAGGCCACAAGAAATCCGGGCAAGGACCTCCAAAGAACAAGAATGACCACGGCTCGTGTGGGTAGAAGAGGATGACTACTATGTATGGCTGGTGCCGAGCCAGATATCTACCATGGCCAAGGCCCACTAGTGTTGTTGGCTAGGCAACCCCTTCAAACTTAATTAGGGGGGGGAAAAAAAAACCAAAAGTTGAAAAAATTGGGCCAAAAAACCTAGGATTGAACCAAATTTCCGGATCAAAGGTAAAAACGGGGGGGGGGAAAAATTTTCGGGCCAAAAAAAATTTAAAAAAACCAACTTTTTTTTTTTTACTTTAAAAATAGTTTATCATATCAGTGCTTACACCATGGGAAGAATAAAGAAGAAAGGTAAGATTGCTCACATTGGCTGAGTGACTGACTTTCGTTGACAAAGCTCGCAGGAACGGCTGGTCAAGCCAAGAATTTCATTACCAGGTGTGTGCATGCCTGATAGCTTCGCTCCGAGATGTAGTAGCTGACTTTCGCCAGGACTCAGGCAGTGCGTAAGCTTCAAGTATCGCTACCAGACTTCCGACGCCTATGCATCTACAAGGGTGTGCAATCGTCAAATATCCGTATCAAAGGCATTACCTGACAAATGTGCAGGCATATATCCTCGAGAACCTAGAAGCAAGAAGAAGGCTTCCAAATCTTCCACTCCCTCTACCACCTTCTACTATACGCGAGACATTCAGTACCTCCTACATGAGCCGCTCCTCGCCAAGTTCAGAGACCATAAAGCGCTGGCAAAGAAGATCTCACGGCATCTAGGTCGTGGCGAGGTTGGAGATGCTGCACGTTTGGAAAAAAAAGGAGCGACGAAGCTCTCGCTTGATCATATCATCAAGGACAGATACCCGACGGTAAGCTTTCCAAATGGAGCACGGAATCTTAGACTCCGGCTGGTGGAATGTCGCTAATCGTACCTGGTATTTCAGTTTGTCGACGCTCTCCGCGACCTCGACGATGCATTGTCCCTGCTGTTCCTCTTCGCCAACTTGCCATCCACGTCCACTGTCCCACCTAAAACCATAGCTCTTTGTCAAAGATTATGCCTCGAGTTCGAACACTACTTGATCACAACAAACTCGCTGCGGAAATCATTCCTTTCTATCAAAGGCATTTACTACCAAGCCACGATACAGGGCCAAGATATACTATGGCTGGTGCCATATAAATTCGTACAGCGAGTGACCGGGGATGTGGATTTTAGAATAATGGGTACGTTTGTGGAATTCTACACGACTCTGCTCGGCTTTGTCAACTTCCGATTGTACACAACTATTGGTCTTATCTATCCTCCAAGGTTCAATGCGAAGAGCTATGAGCAAGGAGGCGAGTTGAATGCAATTATTCTAGAGGGAAGGGGCATTGAAGAGCCCAAACAGATCGAGTCGTTTAAGGGACATGTCAATGGTGAGGTGGACGGAGGGACGGTGCCAACAAAAGCGAATGAAGAAATCCAAAAGCAGATTGCTACCATCAAGGAGGGTCCAAACGCAGAGCTGGACGTTTTAGAGGGCCAAGACCAATACCAGGCTTTAGACCAGGAAATGAACGACGCTATTGATACCTTCGAGACCACTGGAGACGACGCAGATGTGCTCCCACAGCCCCAAGCCGGCGGCAATGAAGCTGGCTCACTCTTCGCACCATTCACATTCTTCCTGTCTCGAGAGACACCTCGGCAGCCACTCGAATTCATTCTTCGTGCTTTTGGTTGTAAGCGAATAGGTTGGGATGCCATTCTGGGCGATGGCGCCTTCACGACCAACGAAGCCGATCCAACCATCACGCATCAAATAGTCGACCGTCCGCCCATGGCAAGCCTTCCCGAAGAGCTGCAAGTCTCCGAGAGTCCTTCAGATCCACCGCCCACAACCGTCGTGAGGCCTGGGTACCGAGTACCCGGCCGAACATTAGTTCAGCCTCAGTGGGTATGGGACTGCATCAACCAAGTCAAGCTTCTGCGACCCGATCTGTACGCACCAGGCGCGACCCTACCTCCACACCTTAGTCCATGGGTCAAGCCGACAAAGGGCGCCTACGACCCGAGCGCGCCTTTAGCGGAGCAGGAACGCGAAGGCGAAGCAGAGGAAGCTGAAGGCTTCTCCGACGACGAAGACGAAGAAGCGCAGGAGGAGGACGTGGAGAAATCCGACGACGCTGCCGCAGACGGCGTAGCACTTGCCCCCTCGGCATCAACACCAGCAACAGCCGATCTCCAGGACGACCACGGCATGACCATCGCCGGCAGCGGGTCCGAATCCGAGCCCGCCTCCGAAGCCGACTCCTTCGCAGGTTTCGACTCCGCCCCAGAATCCGACACCGACCCGACCCTCACGCAGCACCAACGCGAGCTCGAAGCCGAAGCCGCTGGCCTCAACTTCTCCGAAACGCTGACCAAAGCCAACGGGCAGCCCGTAAAGGGGATCTTGAAAGGCAGTGGCAAAGGAGACGAGGCGCGGAAGAAGGCGGCGAAGAAACGGAGGGAGGAGGAAGAGGAGTTGGAGAGGAGGAAGATGATGATGGGCCGGAAGAAGCGGAAGGTGTTGGACAAGATGTTGTATTCGAACCGGCAGAAGGAGGGGGAGGCGGAGGCGTTGAGGGCGAAGAGGAGGAAAATCGAGGCTAGGAGGGGGTAGGGCAGGGGAGTGACTGGCTCAACTGAGTGCTGTGAACAGTGCATTTGACAGCGTGAGCTAAGCAGGATATCTTTGTTGCGAAAAAAGTAGAATCCTTTTGCATGTTGAGTGCAAAATTGCCTGATGATACATGACCTCTATCTAAGCCTTGCCCGTCTCCAAAACCTCTAGGAATCCCCCAACCAGATGCACGCTTCCCGTCACCAGCACCATCACCTCTCCCTCCGCATCCCCCTTTTCCACCCCTGCAACATCCTTACACCACCTCACCGCCTCTTCAATACTCAGCTTCACCTCGACTATGGTCTGAGGATCAATGCCCCTCCACGTCTCCGCTAAACCTCTCTGCACATCCAGCTTTTCAGCGGCTGCGGCGCTAGTATTCATACTCATAAGATCAGGCCTGTATCCCTCCTCCCTGAAGGTCATGTTGGTGCAGAAAACCGCGTGTGTGAAAGGTTGCTCGTTTTGAAGAGCGGAGGCGAGGGTGCGGTGGAGAGCTTTGGCGAGCGCGTTGGCGTCGCGGGTTTGTTGGTTGAAGAGGAGGATGCGCGTCCGTTTCCGCGATCGGGCGGGAGGGATTTGAGAAGCGAACCAGGAGCCTGCGACTTCGATGCTCTCGAGCGTGTGGCCGCCGTCTATGTGCCACGCCATGTTCTTCTCGCGGCGGGTTTCGCAGCGGCCGGGCCAGCGCACCTCTTCGAGGCCGCGGATGAATTCGGGAGGAAGCACGTCGTCGTGGCGCTTGCGATCTTCTTGGCCGAGAGCCACGAGGTGGGCATCCGCGATGGCCACAGCGAGGCTGGCGTTGATCTTTTGGAAGTCGGCGGCCAGCCCAAGCTTCACATCCTCAAGTAAAGGGTTTCTGCCGACCACATGGAGCTTTGTAGGGACCTCATCCGCACGCTTTTGGAGGACCTCGATGGCAGCTGGAGGCTGAGGAGCCGTAAAGCAGGGAGCGCTGGCCTTCATTATCCCACCCTTATGCCACGCAATTTCTTCAACAGTGTTCCCCAGCATAGCCGTGTGATCGATTCCCAAACTCGTGATGCCAGTGACGGTAGGCTTGACGAGGACGTTTGTGCTATCATATTCCCCACCAATGCCGCATTCAGTGATTGCAGTATCGACGCCCTCGCTCATGTACGTATGATATGCCATGAGCGTCAAGAACCTAAAGTAGCCCGGCTTCGCGGTTGTATCTGGCGGCTCGCCTTTGGCCCTCGCTGCCTCCTCCAATCGGTCCCATGTCTCGAAGAAATATCTAGCAAAGGCTTCTTCCGACAGAGGCTGGTTGTTGATCTGGATGCGCTCACGAACATATCGGAGGTGTGGTGAGGTGTAGAGACCGATTTTACGGAGCAGTGGTCTTTCGGGCTTCCGGGTAGAGGGGAAGCGATATTGACCCAGCATAGAAGAGATGAACGCACTGGTGGAACCCTTGCCTTTGGTCCCGGCAATGTGTATAGCATTCAGCCGGTTGAAATCCGAAGGCTGTCTTCCGTCTCAGTTTGGCTGCGTCTGCGGGCGATCCTATTTGTTGTAGCAGTGGAGGCTCGCACCTCATATCCGATCCTGCGGCACCACTCTACCATCTCAGGTATAGAGTTCTTGTTCATGCCCTTGCCAGAATTCCTGATGGCGTCGACAATAGCGAAATTAGTCTGCAGCGTATTCAAGGCAGCGACGGCGTCCTGTGGTATTGGTAAGTCGAAGTATGGAAGGAAGGAGCGGTTGCTGGCATACTGCGTAAGTGCGGCTTGCCATGGTTGCGGATGCCGCAAAGAGGCGCCTTGTTTGAGGAAGAATTTTGTAGAGGATGAGCGACAAAGTTGGCGGCAAGAGGCATGATACCGTATGGGCTGTCAAGTAATATACTAGGTATTGTATTATTATAACCCGGTTTTGGACTTAGTTTCTACACAGCACTCCAGGTAAGATACATGTACATTTCCGTCATTATTTTACAGTACTTTACTTGATCACCATTCAACACTCGTAATTACTAGTCAGCCATATGGCTTTGATATCTCATCGATTCTGACCCTGCATTTTCATTCAGAGGAAGAATCCTATCGGCGTACCATACTCGGCGGCTTCCTTAGATGTGATTCGCAACTGCGCGCTTTTAACAAGTCGAAAATTCCGCTTCCATGATGATGATCGGCGGCTGCATTATTATTGGTAAATGTAATTGGTCTGCAGGTCTAATCATTTATGCACTTTATTGGGCTGCACATTTCGCACGCCTTTGCATACCGTTATCGTGTATGCATCAGCGGAAGAGATCATCAGTTCGGTAGGCCTTGGAATTTCAAAAGAGGAGTGTATGACTTGTCGTCGAATTACATATCGTGGTCTAGTTCGTCAATTGCCCACCTTCTGTGAACGGCAGCCGAAGTAGCATTCTAAAAGCATAGCCGTTCCAGCCGTCAAAGTAACAGACATAGTAAACGACGGCAGCAAGCTAAAGGAGAAGTTGAAGCGCAAAGTAAGAGAGGCACTGTTTGTTCTTTGGCTAAGCTAACTCAGTGCTGTTGAAGTTGGATTCAGGTTTGACATACCATCCGTAGAAAAGACAAGAGACGACTGGGATTTCGGGCAGCCAAACGTCGTGGCTATACCTGTACGGCAGCGCATCAATTCCTGCTTTGTAAGGAAAATTGGTGAGGGAACCTATGGCACGCCTGCGCAGAACCCTAACGTGACCTGCACACGATCTGTATCATCTCTGATGGTGTTTCCTTAGCAAATATGCTAGGTATTCAAGCCACTGTCTAATGGTTCATGCCTTGATCGACGCTTCGGTTATGTGATCACGCCGGGATTGCTGATAGCCTCAAGAAAGGTTTCGACATTGCATAAGACTTGTACGCCCTGCTCATACAAGCCTTGTCTTATGAAACTCTCCGCCGATCTGAGTTGCGATGGACGATCGCTACTGGTGTCCTGAGAGCCTTCGTAAAATGTTTCCACTATCTCCGGTGTCAAGAGGTTTTGAGCCTCTAGAGATTATCCAGGCTCGCAATATAGGTCGCCGATGATTGAGAGAAGCACGCGTCGCCAATCATTGCCCTCGACATCATCGGAATCACTGTCATGGAGTGTAGCTCGTGGGAGATCCAACGCTTCGTAGAATTAGCCTTGAAACTTGAGTGTCCTAGCCAGCAAGATATCCTTGCTCCGCACAAATATTTGTTCGGTGGAAGACGGTGAGACTACATTGATCGGCCACCACTGAAGGAGCTCGTGCCTGGCGGACTGCAGTCTTCCGCTTCATGTGAGGTTTTCTGCAGAAGAGCGAGTCCGTTCTCGTCTTCGAACGTTCCACCGTGCGTCACCCTTCAACAGTTCATCAATGATCATAGTGAATATTTGCGTAAATAAACTTCTGAAGACCTCTGGTGGGACTTTGTTTTCTCGTCCACTATTCGTAAGAGGGACCTCTCATGTTACGCGACACAGATGTGAAGGTAGGCATTATCTGCACCTTGCGAAAGCCTTTTGGCCTGATCGACAGCCTTCCCCCTCCACAACGTATTGGAGAATCGTGAAGCGACTAGCGGCAGTCTCCACTTACCTTTGCGAGGCTTTAACAGCAGATACTGCAGAAGCGAATGAGGATTGAAATGCTCGCAACTGGACGCATATTCTATGCGCGCTATCACTTCTATCCACGAGCTCACCTACAACAGGTAGTGAGCCACGCAGACGAACGTACTCAGCTTAAAGTCTATTATATAGGATATCTCTCAAGCATTTGTTTCCAGGAGGCGGAGAGCACCACCGACTAGGTACAGACTTCCTGTCACCAAAGTCTGCATTCCGTTGTCACGATCTCCTATGTCCTTTGCAAGGTTCAAAGCACCCTCAATGGTTGGCTCGATTGCTATGTCGACATTGGGATTAATACTCTTGTAAGCGTCAACATAATCCTTCTGAACATCCAGTGAGAAAGGCTTTTTGGGAGGGTTTGAACATTGATCTGCATGGACAATCAGCTAGGGTTAGGTACCATCGAGAATTATCCATGGCCATACTAATGCCGACAGTACCGTCTTGTCTTTCTTCATAGGTGCTCAAGATGACGTGTTGTATCTGCATTCCACTTTCCTGTAAACCTCTAGCAACACCTTTTAGGATGGCCGCTCCATCGCGTTCAGATACGTGGCTGAAAATGAGAATGCGCGTGACTGGCAGGACTTTGCTGGAGTTTTCAGCTTTCGATTCCGTGTTTCTCAAATTGGACATTTCCAGGTACCGTTGGCTCTCCGAGACGGTCTCAGCAAACCACTGCGCAGCCTTCTGAATACTCAGCTCATTGTGGGCTCCATCAAGAAACCACTGGTAGTCCCCATCGATGATCCGTTGATATCTTCCGGGCCAGGAAAAACGATCTACACCTCGAATAACGTCTTGCGACATCAGGCTACAATACTCTTTAGGTGCCTTTGCCTTCAGGAAAGTGTCGGCAAGAGCGATAGCAAGCGAAGAATTTTTTTGCTGGACCTCTGGCTTCAACGCATCCGCTTTGCAGGGCAGTGTAGGATCGACATCGACAAACCCCAATGCCACATTTTTCTCACTTGCTCGCGCCTGTAATACTGTAGCAACTGCGGGCTCCTGGAGAGTTGAAAAAGCAGGGCTTCCATACTTCAAAATTCCCGCCTTATGCCAGGCGATGTTTTCGATCGATGGGCCGAGCTGCTCAATATGATCCATCCCGATTGTTGTAATTCCGGTGACGATAGGCTTTTGGATAACATTTGTAGCGTCATATTCTCCACCATTATGAGTCTCGTAGATCGCAACGTCAATCCCCTCTCTAATGAATGCGTGGACCGACGCAAGCATTAGGAGCTGGAGGTAACGGGGTTTTGGGGTATTGTGAGACAAACCGTCCCAGACTTCAAAAACGTATTTCGCAAAAAGGTCTTCCGATATGGTTTTTGAGTCGATCTGGATCCTCTCTTGTACATGCTTCAAATGGGGGGAAGTGTAGAGTCCGATTCTTCGTGGAAACCCGGTCCTTTCGCCATGCGCTTTCAGGAACGAGTTGACGAAAGCACATGTGCTACCCTTCCCTTTCGTCCCTGCGACATGCACAACATTGAGACTGTTGACGTCATTTTCCTAATCCTCTGGTCAACAAGCTGTCGACATCGCCTCCGAATAGATACTGATACTGAATGCCCAAGTTCTTGTAGCCAACCTTTCATTCCTACCAAGCTGGGTGTCCCTTTCATGCTAGGCGCTCCGTTCAAGCTTGGCATTGAATCTAGGGCGGGTATGTTGCTCGTACCGAGTGCAACCCCCAAGCTGGGTCTAGCTGTCCGGCGTCTGCTATTGAGAAGGGCAATGGCGCTCTGCGTCACATGAGAAAGTGGCACAATATATAACGGCGTTCCTCTTACCCCATAATTCTTTTCCATCCCAGCTCTTACGGAGTTATAAAGCCTTTGGCTCCTTCTAACATATATTACTGCATCATCCTACGTTGCGGAGGTTAAGTCAGAGTGTGGGCGGAACAGGTTCTTGGCAGCTGACTACACTACTCTACATTGAGCTAGGCTTATCTAGGCTAGGGCTATGAGAGTCTTCTACCCATCATGTCATCTGAGGTGGCCATTGTTGCAGGAACAATTTATTGATTGCTCTATTGGTAGAGAGGCTGATGCTGTATCTGCTAATGATGTTTCTAATTCGATTGTTTACTAGCTCTTACCACAGCCTAGAGATCAACACTGCAGGATTAGGATCCTGGACGATGATCTTTAGCTGAATGCAGCTTTGGAACTTGCGCCGCGCTGCCATGAGCCGGTGCTGATACAAAATATAAAAGCATAGGCCATGCTCCTACGTTTAATCTTTACCTAGTCATCATTGAAGTCAAATGCTACGGAACCATTACTGACACCCATGCCAAACCATCACGAATATTCCCCCATTCACCTATCGACGAATCTTTGAGCCATAATCCTGATCGTACATCACAGGATAGTAGGGAGAGCATTGAGTTGAAAATTGTTCAACAGCCAGGGGAATCAGCAGCTCCTCTTGCTCAGCGTCCCAAGAAAAGCTCGCCACCACCTAACTCAAAGGTCTTCAATTCAAACCAGCAGACCCGGAAGCTCTTCTTTCCACAGTTTTTTGGATGGCTTGGAACTGTTGTTTTCGTCGCTTTCCTACGGGCGACTTTAAAAGTTTTCGAGAATAAGGGGAATTTTTCGAATAATACGAGACACCTTTTCAACACCATCATTACAGCGCTGAGTTTGGGGCTGGGTCTCAATTTCTTCGTGAGTTTTGTAGTTTATGTGGAAGCCGATTTACTGATGTGGTTTTTCATGCGTATAAAGCGTTCAAAGATAGAGCCAAAGTTTTGAGATGGCAGATATTGGCAGGCAGATATTGGCAAGCAGAAGACACAGCGTTCGAGAAGTGGATCTGATATTGAGCATTGAGAGTCTTCCAAGGTTGTCGAGATCGCGTGGGTTTGTCGAAAGAGACTTTGGACTGTTCTGATCTGTCTTTCATAGGTATGTTTACTCCTTGCACAATGGTCATCGAACCCTTTGCTGCTTCCTGTTCGAATGTTGGTGTGTACCGGGAAGGGCCGGGAGACAGTGCCGCTGTGAATTGGGCGTACTCTAATGGAATTGTGAACGGCTCTATCACTATACCAACGGAGTACTCAGGTCAGGACTCCACCACTTATATTTATCCCGGCACACAAATCCCACAGAACGAGACCGAGTACAGCTGCGGTGCTCGGTGCATGCGGATGTGGGCGTTGATTTCAGAGAGCACTTTGCCCGATGATCAAGGCCAAGCAATGGCGTTGATTCGGTGCCCGATTACCGTTAGCTCCGTCACCAATGTAACACACGATTACCGGATAATTTCGGATGGAATGGCGAAACTGGCTGCCTCGGCAATTGGATTACAGAGGAAATCCGCTAATCCACCTCAGGATAATGGAACGACAACATGGAGGCAATATCGATTCTATCCCTGGGGGTGAAACCTCCCTTGCTACTATATTCTAGCGTGCTGTAAGGCTGACTCAAGCTTAGATCCGCCTGGGAAATCCATAACCTCGAAACCGACCAAGTAGGCGCTAACATGGCCTATTTCGCGCTGGCTTCCCTCGCCTGGATGGTAATTACGGACCCAAGGTTGGTGTTGAGGGTCTCGTGCCTATCCTAGGCTACAACCTCTCTATGCACTGGAGTTATGTCATCGAGCTATGTGCCTGCATCGTGGGAGTCCACTTCGTCCTCTTTGCGGCAGCGGTCTATACAAGCAGACTTGTCATTATCAAAGACGATACAATGATCTCTACGGCGATATTGTTGAAGCCTTCGGTGGAGCATTTGGGACCCAGAGCGACGTTTTTGGCAGGCAAGGATTTGAGTGAGGCAATCGAATAACATGTGCCCAGAGGCGTGGTGTAAGGGCCGCGAGAGGATAGGGAACCTGGCAGGACTCCTTCGTATCTTGGGAAAGAGGTGATGCCTAGACGGAGATTGAGTACTCGGCGTCATCCGGATGGGAGTTATTTGTAGATTGGATATAGACTATGTATGGAACATGGGCGATGAGGGCAGTCCGCAGAGTGTGCAGTCAGCATATATTACGGCTCAGTGCTACATCAGCGCAAACTCTTCGCAACATCTGCTCCTGCAGATCAGAGGATTGCTGGGATAGTATCCTTTGTCAAGCAATCCAGCTGTGCTCTTCAAAGCTGGTCTGGACACCCACTTATCCCAAAACGCACAATTTGCACATGCACTCCGCCATAGGCAAAGGAAAACCTCAACCCTCCCAACTCCACCACCAATGCATCCTCACCCTCCCCCATCACCACTTCCACATCACCTCCCTTCATCGCAAAGGTGACGGATGGGATCAAGTCATGGAGGAAGCAGCGGAAGTCGATTGGCGAAATACGTAAGGAGTATATTCGGTCTGGAAGTAGCTGGTCATCTTGACAGATGGAAGTTCAACTCAGTGGCTTCCATTCATGTTCAACGCGCTGTCGCAACAGTAGGCCTACTTCAAAGGCTAGATCTCCGCTACGACTACATTTACCATGAGACATTCAGATCCCCTCCGAACCCTCGGGTTGCCGTACTGTTTTAAAGTTCACGGTCCGCCAATATGAAACGTCGCGGAGCAAACACGAGTTCCAACTTCCCCGGGTGCGAGTTGAACTGATCTTTGAGATCTCGCCACACGGCCACGCCGTCCTCGCCGGGCGCAAATGCGACATCGAAGTCGTTTACGAGCCTCGCCACGACACTGCGAATCTGCATCATCGCAAGGTTCTTCCCGATGCAATTGTAGCGCCCTGGTGTACGATGAACGTGATGAGTATTGGGTATATTGCGTGCGGGAAGAGTAAGACGCACCCATGGAGAAGGGAGAGAAGCCTGAGTCATCCTTGATCATTTCTGGCCTTGCATACCATCTTTCCGGGACGAACTCGTTGGATCGATCGTAACACGACTCGACTGGAGAAGATCAACACCACAGCTTCCAGTCACAGGGAAAGTTCCACTCACGCCGGCCTAAGGAGTATCTCGGCGCTGATACCACTACATTTCCTGGTATGAAGTGACCCGCAATCGTCAAGCCTTCGGGGGGTGTCTCCCGAAACCCACCCGAAGGTAGGGCAGGGTGCAACCGCAAAGCTTCATTGATCATGCCGTTGAGATGTGCCATTGATTTCAGGGCGTCCAAGCCTGGAACACTGTTGACGTTCTCCAGCTCTGCTCGTAATTTGACCATCTGGCTGGGGTCATCAGCGAGGTGGTAAAAGATGGATATCAGAGTCGACGCGACAGTATCACTTCCACGACATGTAAACATCAGCGGGGATCCCTTTGGGGGATCTTCCTCCGCAACAAATACCTTCCAGCGACAATGAGAGCAAAGCAGTCCCCCCGGAGCCAGTGTTGATCTTTTTCCAAGCGACCCGCATCTTGGCTAGCTTTTAGAAGCCATGACATGACCTATTACTGTGATTAGATATAGAGTAAGTGAGTAACCCACTACTCAACTCACGTCCCGTTTCGCAGGCTCGTTCTGCTCATGATGTCAGACTCTATCGTACCGTATAATACAGCAGAACGAGACTATACCTTCATTCGATCTCGAAGCTTCTGCGCCGACCAGCCAAGCAGATTCTTGAAATTCTGTGCTACCCCTGGAATACTATAACCGATTCTGACCAGCCAAGGAACAGGCGATAGTGGTCCAAGGAGGTTCATACCATCCTGCAGGAGCCCGACCGTAAAGTGGTACTCGTCACTATCGAGCATGTTCAATGGTTCTCCGAAAGCTAGATCACTCATGACGTCAAATGAGTAGAGGTAGAAGAGTTTGGAGACGTCGACGGCTTTCCCATCCAGTTTCGAGATGCGTAAGTACAATTGTGCTGCAAATCTCAATAACCGAGGCTCATACTCTTGCAAAGCTAGACAGATGCCTTTAGTTATAAAATCACAATGAGTGGTGTTGCAGTTTCTCACCTTGAGGACGGAAAGCTCGTTCCCATATCTTACGCCTTTGGCTATGGGACTCCTTGTCCCTCGTGGTGGCAACGGAGACTCGAGGTTGCATGATATCATACCACGGCGCCTTTGTGCACTTCGTACTTAGCCCATCGAGAGCCCGTACGGCCTCAGGCTTGAAGATTGATATCTCATTCGGACCTGCGTTGCACTAGTTTAGGTATGTACACAACGAGATAAGGCACTGGCAACAAGACTCGGTTTTTCGTACCTGTGCGAATGAAATCACCGTAGCGGTCGTGTAGATCTTCCATGAGTCTAAAATTGGTCGACTTCGAAGCCTTGACAACGTTCCACAGCTTCGATACCTTGGCCAAGCGAGGGCCAGGGAAATTGTGTAGACGATGGAAGAACACGCGATAGATGAACATGCTACCAAAAAGAGCGATGGCGTAGCAGAATGAAACTGAAGTGGCCATCAAGATTGCGGTTTGTACCCTCTTTCTCTCACAGTAAGCCTCGATGAAGAAGACCAAGCACGTCAGGAGTAGATAGAATCTGAATATCTTCGGCGCTTGGATGTGATGTTCGCCTTGTATGAAGTATACCAGATGAGAGGATATGCCAGCGAGCCCTGATAGGCACAGCTGCAGTGTCCAGAGCATGATCAAGGTCAGGGTGGAAAGTCACAGAGAGCGGAAAGAGAAGAACAACAGGCTTGATGAAAAAGTGGGCATGGGTATGTTACACGTCAGGTTCGACTTCTCCGCCTCACACGCAGGCACCGACAAGGCACAGTGAATTCAAACCCATCCGACTACGAATGAGATTTCCGAGGTTCGCGATAGCGGTATCCACACCAGTATTACAAGCTTGCAGAAGACCAATGGGGCGGAATCCGGAGTACTGACTGGGAAGCACTTGGTGGGCACCACACCAACTAATCAGAGGGAGCTTGTCATGCAGCGACGGGTCTAGATGACTGAACCCAGAGCCAATGATCTGGTCATGGATTCTCGGCTCCGTGATCATGCGTCGTTTAATAGAAGCTGACGGGGATGTGTTAGTCTTTCATGTGCCGATTTCATCATAACGGCTTTTCTCATACCCTTTTCCATGCACGATGTGCGCCCGACTGTACTGGGTAAGAAGCCAAAATAGGCAACAGGAACAATGCCGATAAGGCACAGTCCCATGTCGGCTCCATACATAGACATATTTACGTTGCGGTACAAAAGTCATGGTGCGTCAGCCCGGGGATGCCGATCAGAGCAATGCCGCTCGATTGCAACCTCGGCGGCAGAAAAGCCCATGGAGTCATCGTCAGGGAAGACTTGGGTGCCCAAGCTGTTGAGTCAAGCCTTGGAGCCGAATTCTAGGACGTTCAAGGCAACAGCTGATAAGAATTTGCTAGGATCATTATGCTCTTACGGGTGAATGTTTGCTGATAAAGATTCTAGGGAGACTTATACCCAGGCTCATCACTAGGCCGTCACGGATCAGGTCCAAGACAATTCCTGAACCAAGTTCAAATTCGACTCGTCCCGGAACCTTCACATCCCGTTCCTACATATTCTCCACGTCTACATCCTCCTCCTCACATTCTGACACGTAGTTGTTTCATAACTTCGCCGTGCTCGCAATATCAACACTACTCGGACTTGTTGGATCTGCTCAAGCGTATATACCCAAAACCTGGACTTCCAAAACAAAGTTTTCAGTCTCCAAAAGAAATTGAGAAAGATTTCCTCGAACCTCCAAGATACAAGGAATTCATATCCCACCTGACATCAACTGGAAATGTCCTCAACCGAAGCCAAGAAGCGAAATATCAATCATGGCCACAACTCAGCAAGTCATGGTCGGAAGGAAACTACTGCTTGGGATACCATAGAGTATGATCTGTATTCGATATGGCTTTTCACCTACAGCGACCTCAAGACCATCGTTGGACCCAAGACAGCATTCGGAATATTTAACAGCCTCCAGGCTTCAGCTTTTGACCTACCTTGCCTTCAATACTCGACAGCGTTGAAACGATTACCATTGGTCGTCTTCTGGACATGGATCAACCTCTTACCGTTCTCAATCGATAACCAACGACAACCAGAAGCGATCAGGGAAGATGGACCAAAGAATGAAATCAATAAGTTCTATGACTGTGCTTTAGACAAGTAAAAATAGGTTGGTTGGTTGATCATGGACTGCAGTTGATGCCGGCTCTGCTCTCGGTTAATATGTTGTGATTACCTTAGCGTTTAATCTCGTATCCGGCCCGGAGGGATCTACAAGTATGTACAGAGGTCTGCACCGAAAGTCCTGCACCCGCACTAGTGCAGCCCTAACCCTACTTTCGGAAAGCGGCCCTGTAGAGGGGAAGCCTAAAAATATCTTCTCACAGCGCATAATAAGATTTAAGGTACTTCTTTTAGCCTTGATAGGGGTAGTAAGCCCCGAAACCTGGCTAGGGCTAGGTGCGATTCCGAAGAACTTCAGACGTATTATCCAGGTAACCCTTTAGGTGGGGCGTTATCCGAAGTCTGAGCGCAAGAGTCTTGGCGGGTGCAGGACTTTCGGTGCAGACCTCTGTAAGTAGGGCACGTATGCCTTGACCTCGTCCGCTATCGAGTACGTTCCAGCCTGTTATGATCGTACTCGTGCTAATAGAGAGGCTTTTTTTCAAAGTAGGTCTATCGGTAAGTACTTGAGGAAGGGCTATGGCTTTGGAGTTTTAGATCCTTTTGGGACTATCGTAGGCTTAGGATCCTTCCTCACGTGATCAAGATCATATTTGACCCCTTCTTATGATTGTTTAGGCTAGTCTTTCATCTGAGTCGGCGCGTTGTTTTGATTGGCTGAACCCCTGAGTACCTACCTGTACCTTGCTTCACTTATCTTACTTTACCTTACTTATTGAACCCTGCCAGACGATAGGATACGCGCGAGTGCCAAGGCGCGCTCATCCTGAACAGGCCCTTGGCACAGATGATCTAATTTCTGTCACATAAAAAATTTGTTTCTTGTAAAAGAAAATAGATGCGGTCCTTGGCTGCTGCATGGTCCTCTCTCCTCAGATCCTCTTGCACATGTCTTCTTGTATATACGAAAGCGTGAAACTCTTGAGCCGTCGAGTCAAACATCCCAAAGTCGCGTATAATATAATAATCCGATATGCGCAAGGAGTCGGACCTTAATTTCCCAGTATCAGAAGTCGCATATCTCTCTCTTCTCCATAGCCACTTCACCGACTCTCTCTTACATCCATCCATCAGCAATGGACTTCTTCAAGCGCACTCTGACTTCTTCCTTGCACCCGTCTGCTACAGATGAGGACTTGGAAACTCTACTCAAGGCCGAGGATGGGGGAACCTCTTTCTCCACCAAATATGGTCTCCCAACCACAGCAAGCAGATTCATTAAGAAAATCGTTCTGGCAATCCTTCCAAACCCAATACAACGTCGCCTCGCACCCCATTTCTATAAACCCTCACGAATTCATTCGACCTCATATCTCGATGGGCTCCGTGGTACGTGCATGTCGCATTTCATTTTTCTAACCTGTGCTACCAAGATGTAAGACACGTGTTTGTCGTCAAATGCCGGAGTGGAGTTACGTCTTTTCAAAACTCAGATCCTTGCGCCGCAAGAAAAAGACTGACTCGGACATCTTCACAGGTATCGCGTCTTTCATCGTCTTTGTCCACCACTTTACTAATTGGGTGAATCCCTACCTGGCCTACTATGGCGTGGATAATGAAAACCGACCTTCCTCTCTCGTGCAGTTACCCTTTGTCCGAGTTACTTACTCCGGCAGGCCCATGGTCCATGTCTTCTTCGTTATATCCGGCTTCGTTTTATCTAGAAAGCCCCTTCGACTGGCCCGCGCTCATAAATTCGATGAGCTCCACAAGACTCTCTCATCCTCGGTCTTCCGACGCAGTATACGTCTCTACTTACCGGCAGCTTTCTCGACGTTCTTCGTCCTTTTGCTCATCCGCGCCGGCTGGGCTCGGCAACCGGTCGACGGCGGGTTTCTAGCTCAAGTGGGAGACTGGACCAGTGCAATGTTTGACATGACAAAGCCGTGGCAGTGGGATGTGATCCAAAATCTTCGATACGACATGCATACGTGGACACTTCCAGTCGAGATGTCTATGTCGATGCTACTATTCGTTACAATAACCGGTCTTTCAAGATGCAAAGTGCCGATCAGACTTGGTATGATGATAATGATCATGCTGTACTGCTTCCAAAGCGGACGCTGGGCGGCCGTCGAGTTTCTAGGTGGTGCCTGGATTGCTGAAGTCGACTTGATACAAGAGGAACGTGCTAGTGATGCGGGAAATCTTCAATCGACTGCCCCTGTAGAGCATCTCGACGGCGACCAGCTTAACCCAACCGAACTTCCCAAAGCCGCTACGTGGAATGGCCTCTGTTGGACCCTTCTCTGGTGGCTCCAACTCGCAATCGCACTCTGGATATGCGGCTGGCCGAACCACGACGTAGAAAAAGCCCCGGGACTAGCCTGGCTAGTCAAGCACGCCCCGGAACCCTATTTCTCCCTCGGCGAAGAACACTACACTGACTGGAGAGCTACACCGTGGTACATACTAGCGTCGCTCCAAATCGTCTTCGCATGCCAGCAACTGCCTCCATTACAAAGATTCCTGACGACCGGTCCCATTCAATATCTGGCATCCATATCGTTCGCGCTCTATCTTATGCACGGTCCGCTGTTCGATAGTATCGGCGGGAAGATCATGACTCCGATTTTGCATTCCGTGACCAGCATGGACGAGGCCGGAGTGTGGGAGTTGTTCTTTGTGTGGATCGCAGGGCTTTTTGCGTTGGGCATCCCTTGTTTGTGGGTTGCCGATTTGTTCTGGAGGTTCATAGACCGGCCCTGTGTTGATTTTGCCAGGTGGGTGGAGAGAAAATGTACTGATTAAGGGGCATTGAGAAGAGGCATGGAGTGTACACACATACGTATCGGCACGGCTCAAAGCGAGCGGTCTCCGGGGTTTGCTGGGAGCTGCTGGTCGGCTGCTAGTAATCAGGCAATTACTAGCCTTAATAAGTTGGCACGGGTGAGGACGACAAGATGACAAGATCTCGCCCCTGAAGCTGTGAGACAAGATCCTAATTTCCCCCAGGGCCTCCTCTTCGAACGGTCCAACCTCTACATTCACACGCTACGGGGAATAAAGACCCATTTCCCATCATCTCTCTTCCCAGGCACGTTCCATTCAGCAAACCCCCTTCCAAACGACGAGATTCAATCCGGGAGTTCTTATGCCGGTCAGCAAGTCTTCCCCAGTGTCAATCAGTTCAAACCACTTACCCACACGACCTCCCTCCAGCCAACCCCTTCCTCTGAACATCGATCCGTGTAGCCCTCGCCATCTCTACCCTAAAAAGATAACTACCCAACCATTTAAGCACAGCCCTCCTCCTCCTCCTCGTCATCTCCACCCTTTCCAGCCTTCCATCCATCAATCAGATCGTATAGCAAGCCCCACTTATCCATCCTCAAACTCCCCACCTCTTCAATGTCATTCACTCTCAGCAACCGATGCCCCAACCCTCTACTCTGGCTCTTGGCACGTCCTAAGATATTATCTCATATTGCCGACGCCCGACCTTCTTTCTTTCTTTCTTTCTTTCTTTCTTTCTTTCTTTCTTTCCAGGCAGGGTCATCCCACAGCGACGCGCTCAGCTTTCCCCGAGTCCAGTTCCGCACCGCGTACAAAGCTGGCCGGATCTGAAAAGGCAGCCAATACCGCGATCCGTGGAGCGAGATGGGCGTGCAGAGGGCGGGATGGGATAAGCCAGCAGAGCAGGCGATATGCAGTGAGCATAGAAAGAGAACAGGACGCCAGGGTGGAAAGAAAGCTGGCCGGATGGACGCAGCCGTGCGGAGAAGACGCCAGACCCGCACGCTGACCGAGTGCCGCCGTAAGAGAGAGAGAGAGAGTTGTGGAGCAAACGTCACGCGTAGAGGGCGAAAAGCGTGTACTCTCCGATGAAGGTTGTAGGGGTCGCTGCGATTGAGACGCGGTGTCCGGAACAAAGGCGACGGTTTGGACGACACTTCTCCGAAACAGCGTCATTGGTCGACGGCCAAAAAGGCCCCCGAATGAGATTGCAGAAGTCCTGCAATTCGGACGCGGTGTCCGGAACAAAGGCGACGGTTTGGACGACGTCTTCCTCGATGATTTGCCTTTGACCTGCAAGGAAGGTCGAACATCCTTTGACAGGAAGAGCCCATCTACTCTGGTCTCTAACCCCCCACGATACACCTAAATGGAAAAAAAAAGCGAGCCTTCCCCTGTCACCAATCGACATTCCCTCTAAACATAACATCTGCCCCCCCCCCCCACAACAACACCCCCCGGATCACCCCCCCCCCCCCCCCAACCCCCCTCCTTCTTCTCCCCCCGAGACAAACCCCCCCCCGTCTTAGGGCCCCCCCCCCCCCAAAAAAACAAGGGGCGCTGTACGAGTACGACGTCAAGACACGAGACGACCAACGAGCCGCGTACGAGACTTCAACGAGCGATGCGATCGATCAACAAAAATGGATACTTCCAGCTCTTGACGCCGAGCGGCCATACTCCAAACACGAACGCAGTTATAAAATTCTGAAAGAGCCAACTCTACCGTAGCGAAGCCATACAGGACCCAAGAGCGAAAAAAGGGCCGGAAAAAGTAGGAGGATCGATGGGCGGAAAAGCCGCACGTGCGTAGAGGACGAAGGAGGGAAAGCAGGCGAGAATGTGATGACAACGTCGACTCACGCTGCGATTGCGGAGTCTTGCGATCACGGGAGTTGTCCGACAAGAGGAAAAGGGGAAGGGAGAAGTGATAATGCTAAGAGCTGAGGTCTTTTCGTTTGTTGTACACTTCGGTGGGTATCAATTAAAATGGATTAACTAGTCGTTTCAAAAATCCCCTGGACTCAGAGTTGTTCGATGCAGGAAACACCGCTTTCCTTTCCTTCACTTGAATGGAAAATGTTTGAGGTCCTCTTATTCACAACTGTCGCACCATTCCGACAGCGCACCTCTCCCTCGAGGCACAAAAAAAAATCCGCATCACCTCTCTGCATACGCGCCTTCCACTATCTTGCATTCTCTTTCTCCCATAGCAGTCCGTCGAAGCGGGTACAAATCTTACAATCGCCGTTGACGGGACGCACCATCTATCAGCGAAGAGTTCTTTCTTTCTTTCTTTCTTTCTTTCTTTCCACTGTCCCACGCTCTTCGCGAAGCAGTTCTCTAGTCGAGAATTCCAGACTTTTCCGCTCTGCTACTTGATTGCCAAATGCGAATCGTGTTGCGGAGTATGTGTGACCGCTCGCCACTTTTCCCGACCGGCACTCTGTCTATTACTTACCGTACTTAGGTGCATTTCCCCAAGTCTTGCTAGCCTTTACGGGCCAGGACGCTGTCCAAATACGTCTCGGCGTGAAAGTTCGATTCGAGGAATTCATTCAAGGATTTGCTCCGCATTGGGCAGTGTGCAAAGATCGATCAATCAGTCTTTCACCTGCGCATTCCTCATCTGACCATATCTGAAAGTGCTGGTGTTCGCTGTACCAAGGAGGTACGCGTCCAACGTCTGGATCAAAAAATCTGGATCAGCAGTTCGAGCTATGCACAAGAAGAGATAGAGATAGAGACAAATTCTGGGCTATGGTAATCGCATTAGCATGTACACAGCATATACAGCAATCAGAAGCCTGTGAACGAAGTACCAAATGTTAACGCTTCACGACTCTTTTGTGGACAACATACATGTATACACGCGGCTCGATTGTGTGAGACATCCTCAAAGCTTCAGTCCCACACATCCTGTCCCCTGGATCCAAATGAAATCGATGCCTCTCACATCCGAGAACAGTCCTAAAATCAGTCCCAGCTCAGTGAGGGACTTGCAACTTTCGTCAAAGACCTTTCCGAGCTTGGGAACTTATTCGCCTTTCAGTTGGCTATTCTTTTCTCCCTTAACGCGAGCCCATCAACGTCATTGATTCTACGGAGACCAGCAGCACATCTACTTTATCATTCGATGTGCCTCTGAGTTCCTTGGACCATATCCGAACATCCTATAATCGACGCGAATCTTCATCAGAAAGTGCAACCCTTGAAGGGGAACCCATGAAGCAGCCAAGTTCGATTCTCTCGCCACATATGCCCGAGTAATCGGTCAGTTCCAAGCTAACGAGGGCTGTGACTCGCAGACTGCAACAGGCTCCGTGACGAGCTTTTCCGGGCTCCACTTCGTCTCTTGGAGCAAAATCATACAGGAATTCCAGCAAGGCGGCGATACTACCGATGATGCGTTGTAGACTCTCTGGAACCGCACGTATACAGAAGCAGCTTTGTGATTGGGTAGAGTTCGAGTGAGTCGCGGTGCACTTGTCGCCCGGATCGACCATGTGCGTAGCTCGGACGATGCGCGTAGAAGGGAGCCCGGCGGAAAGATGGATCGCTCTGGCGTTTTGATTGGATCCTTCTGGCGAGATTTCAACGTCCACGCGACAAAGTTTACCGAGAGCCATGGTCCCTGCGATGCGTCCTGGTCTTGCCGCAGCTACCATGGATCCTTCCCGCTCCTCAAATAACCCACACTCGTCTCGAATGACCAGTTCTTCCAGGCAGGGTAGCATGGAAGCAAAATGAGTTGTAGCTAGATCCTGGTACGGGAAAGAATGCACGGTGGCTTGCGGCTCCTCCTGAAGATCGTTGGCGGTTTCCTTGGCCATTTTTGAATTGTACCAGTTTCATATCCACAAAGCTTTGACATACAGAAGGATGTCAGGTTCCCTTAAAGAGCTCGAAGGAGGTAGGGTAGAGGGTGAGAAGCGCACGGAGATGAATGATGGAGAGGAAAAGAAGAGCGGGAAGCCTCCACGCTCCAGAATTGTTCAGCTCCTGAAGCGTTCAGAGGGAGTCATGAAGTAGTAATGCTGGCACTGACCCTCACTCGCTATCGACGGTGCACTAACGGCTTCTCTACACATCTGATAAGATCGAATTGACTTCATGGCAGGAATGCTCTTGCTACGGACTTCACAGATATTCTCTCACTTCCGCATTCTTTCTCCCTTACCCCCCTATTACGTCAATGACAGACTTCCTACGAAGTCCGTCGTAGTCCCAGGCTCGCATACGCAGGGTACTACCCGCCTTGATCATGCGGTATCGCTCCTTTTCCTTCAGCGGCTCAGGTCCCCCAATTTTCAGCGTCCTGAACTCTTCCGACCCGCCACTATCTCCGACCCAGCCATGTGTCTCGTCCAACACAGTCAGCTCAAAAGCTTCTATAGCAGAAACTAAGGGTAGATCATCTGCCATCGCCGCTCCAAGTCTAATGAGGGCAAAACTGTCCAGAGATTCTGTCCATCTTGGTCGACTGTGAGCATAGAGTGCGAGGGATACCAGCCCGATGAGCTGTATCGAGATTAGGAAGCTGAGGAATATCATTGCAGCTGGTGACATCGAAGGCTTCATGATGCCATAGCCCAGAGGATTATAGATGTCGTTTCCAACGAATTCAGTCACATCTTGGTTGAGTATTGCCTTATTGCTGAGGGACATTGTAAAAGAGAGTGCTGCGGTAATGGAGTCTAGGCTTCTGAAATTTATTAGCCAGTCGTAGAGGCTCCTTGCTAACATTCCAGGCCGATAATCTAAGAGATCACAATTTTCTAATGGCCTCGCAGGATCCCAATGTGAACAGAGCTCATGAAAGTCATCACTTGTATCCTTCGCAACACTGAGAGTTTTGAAAAATGTATCATCTCCGAAGATTGCGAATATGGAGGTGATGAATGGACTTGGTGAAGTAGCCAACCCGTTTTCATCCATTGACACGTCCAGCTCTGGGCAGCTCAATGTTGCATTGGAACATCCTTCATAAAGGGGTCCGGCCGAATGGTTGTTCCAATTGTTCGGTAGTTCAAAATAGCCCAGAGTTGTGTTCGACCGGCAACGGCGAGTGAAGTTGGTAAGCGGATTAATGGCCGGCCAGGGATCCCCAGCGTCGTCTTCTGAGGTTTCATGGATGTATTGGAAGTCTAAGAAGAACTGTTCCGTAACATCTTGTCTGAGATTGGTCCCATACCAAGAGGAGGTGTTCTCGCTTGGGAAACATAGTCGAAAGGTGAACAGGCTACAAGAGTACGAATCCAGAGATGACCCTGAGCTGTCGACGTTGGAATAGGCAGTCTCGAACGGCATAGAACCCCCACAGGAAGCTGGGAATTCTGGTTGCTCAATGCTATCGCACTGAAGAGAGGAGTTCAGGCGTAGCGCATACACTCGGGATTGACCGGTATCTGTTCCTACTGGGAAGGAGGAGGTGAAAAACGGAGACGCCAGAAAAGAAGCACCGGTTGAATCTTGGGATTCAGTAGATGATTCGGAGCTCGCCATGGTGAGGTTGGATCTACTTGGCGGCCAAGTATGAGATTGATTATTAGATAATCTTGCAGAGACAGTGTTTTCTGTCACGGCGTGAACCATCTTGCGATAGTCATCTATTGAATCGCGCATGGCACTTAGATATTGCAGATTTGGTTGAACACCCAAATTGGTGTTGTCGAAAGTGTCGCTCGTAGAGACTTGCACATGAACCGTCTGGACCAGCGCTCCCTGTAGTGTCGGAATAGCAATGCCTGTATATTGGCTGCTTAGCACCCACGGACAATCAAAGGTACGTGTCCTTACCGACGCCACAAAGCAGAGCTGATAAAATTAACAAGGTGCTTCTTGTCCGGCGGCTAGTACTGGGTCGCATTACATCGAGCAATATCTGTATGTCAGACCAGCCCTTGTCCGCAAGTGCTAGCATTTGGCGCATAGTCAACATCTGATTATGTTGATTGGAATGCTTTTGACAGTAGACGACAGCAGCTTTGGCACATATGGCCGAGGTAACTGGGATGGTGACGGACCCTATAAGAGCAGATGTTACCCTCGTTAGTTTTCTCCAGCGATCGTTGCTATCATATTGTTCTCTGGTAAAATCCGAATTTGGGTCGTAATAGGTAGGAAGGTTCACCGGTCTGTAGCATAGCAAACACGTGACTACCCATGTGAGGATGGTCGAGACAGAGTATAAAAGAACAAGCCAGAGCCCTAAATTATGTCGTTGGAGTTCTCGCGCTTTTCTTAGCCTTTTCAGCTCCTTCATGTTTTTCTGTTTAGCACGCACTTCAGGAGAAGTGGAATCCTCGAGGAGAGATTCGTGGCCGCCTCTGTGACGAGAGCTGTCTGCGAGGACAGATGCACAATTCGTGGGGCAACTGCAATGAGACAACAGCGACTTCATTGAGTTGGAAGAGTCACTAGCAGTCTCTCTAAGAGACGAGTCCATTTCTCCAGCATGTGGGCAACGTGAGGAGACCCCTGAAGGACTGACACAAGAAGACGACTGCCTCGAGGCCAGAAGCTCATCAGATCTCTGTGGCTCCTGCATTGCCAATAGTCAAACGTTTGGTCGATAGCAATAGGAGAGGAAACCGAAAAGCTAGCGGCAGAGGACGGTACAAAGAGGCTTTGATTTGAAAATCTAAAGATGAGAAGAGAGGAGAGAGGAGAGAGGAAGAAGGAAGGAGGGAGGAGAGAGGAGAGAAGAGAGGAGAGAGGAGAGAGGAAATCCATAGCAAAAATAGAGCAGACGATGTCAAGCACTGCCCTCAATCTGGCGCCTTGGGTGGGGATCACTATACTGAGCCAAGTACTTTACGTGGTGCGGATAACAGTACGCACAATGCAACCCTCCCAGCATCGTACGCCCAGACTAATTCTCAGCCTCGCCAGGCTGAACACGGAGCAATATTTATCGTTAAACAATTCGTTCGTCAAGTCCGGGTTGCAACGTCTGCACTGTAGCAACTTGAAAGGCATTTGTTATCCTTTGGTCGGCCCGGTCGGCAACGGCTCTGGTGCGGGATAACCGGATAGATAAGGTCCTAGGTCCTGTCTGTGTCTGGACGCGCCTTGCTCAATGCTCAGTGAATGAAACCGTCAATGCCTAGTCAGTAAGAACATGAGCAAATATACCTCCTGCTACCGCCACACGAACCAGACTCGCCAACGCCACCTCACCACCGCAAACGCACCCATCATCCTCCCCTCCACCCTCCCCCCCCGGGCGCCCGCCATGCCCCCCGCCTCCCGCCTCACCACCCTCAACGAGCTCCCACTCCCCACCTTCCTTGCCCAACTCTGGCCCCGCGACGACCCTCGCGTCGAAACCCCCGGCCCCGCCGACGGAGGAGGACCGTGGCGCCTCCGACTGCGCGCGGCCGAAGGGCTCTCGGAGGCGGAACTGACGGGGTGTTTCCGTCTGGTGCGGGATTCCAGCGCCGCGGACTACGGGGCCTCGGCCTCCGGGTGGCGGCCGGGGAGGAAGCGCGAGGAGATGCGGTTGCGGGATCTGCGGTACATCTTGCTGGGCCGGTCGTCGGCGGGGGGGGAATTGGAGGGGGAGTCGTGTTTGCCGGTGGGTGGGTTCTTGTCGTTTATGCTGACGTGGGAGGATGGGATTGAGGTCATCTATTGCTATGAGATCCATCTGGATGAGTGTGTGAGGGGGAGGGGTGTGGGAAAGCGGTTGATGGGACATTTTGAGGAAGTGGGCAGGAAGGCTGGGGTGGAGAAGGCGATGTTGACGGTGTTTAAGAGGAATAAGGCGGCGATGCAGTTCTACGAGCGGTTGGGCTACGAGGAGGATGAGTATTCGCCCAGGCCGAAGAAGTTGAGGAATGGCGTTGTCAAAGAGTTGGATTATTTGATCATGTCGAAGTCACTGATCGGTGGGGTCAAGAATCACCAGGAGGAGGGACAGAGGAAACGAAAAGCTGGATGAAAACGCATTGGGATGCGGCTCAATTGATCATTGGATGTCTATATCTGTCTGACATCTTTGCCCTTCATCTCCGGCCTCTCGACTTCCCATTCGTCTCGAAGGACCGCGAACAGGGAATCCGCAACAATCTCCGACAGGCCGAGACTCCAGACGAGAGTAATGGCATAGAAAAAGTTTGCGTTGCCGGAACCCGCATAGATCCAGAGGTAGTAGAAGGCAGGGCCCAGCAAGGTCGCGTACAGGATCGTGGCCATGGCGAAAAAGGTATACCGCATCACTGCCGAGCATCAGTGTCAATACCCGAAGATGAGAAGGCCATTTGGGCAGGACTTACAGGGGAAAATGTGTCTATACAATGGCAGCATAGCAAAATACAAAGACGTATCCGAAATGCTCGGGTACGGCTTGAATATTGCAAAGATGCCCAGCAATGTAGTGATGACGAACAGCGGCTGCGTGCGAAGACGAATGCATAAAGCCCCAACGTAGCCCCCCAAATGCAGCCAGAATACACCCAGGAAGAATTCCCTGAACGAATCGAACATCTCAATGAAAAAATACCACCAGAGCCCCACATTTGGTGTCAAGTCCGGCAGAAGCAGGTGGACGCCATATGTAGATGCCAGATACTCGGATGAACCTCCAGTCAGAACTTTTGAGAGATGCAAGAACCACGCTATGCTTGCGGAAAAGACGGAGAGGTATGTGGCAGTCGAAAAAGTTGCATTTGGAGGCGCCTTTGTCTCTCTTGCTTTCCGATCATAGCAGAGTAGGATCAGAGGAGGAAGTAAAAGGGCTGGATAAAGCGACAGGTATGAGGCGAGACCCAGAGCAAGCATGGAGGTGATGGGTTTGCTGGAGACGGCCTGGGCAATGGCGTAAAGGATGGCGCAATTCGTGAAGACGCTTGTTGGTCTGCCTATACATGTAGCGATGGTGAAGGGATTGAATAAGTATCTATAGCCCCGTTAGTCTAGAGACAGCCTCCTATGGATCATACACCCTTACGCGGCGGCTACCGCTATGCTATCCCATTTCATATCCTTCCTCGGCGATGTGAACAGACGTGAAGAGCGTGACTCGCCAGACTCTGTGATACGTATGAGGGCATTGGCGCAGAGAAGGTCGAGGAGGATGTAGAGGAGGGCGGTCAAGGGCAAAAAGAGGGAGGAAGGGATGAGGGCGAAGAGTGGTAGCAGCAATGGGGCCTTGAGAGGAATGGTTAGCGGAAGGAAGTGACTCGTGCGCGGCCAGTGGAACATGCCTGGTGAAAGACGCCGCCGTCGTAAGGGGAGACATTGTGAGTATAGAGGAAGAGACCTTCTTGCACTGGCAAACCGTCAGTCATGAGTTGTATGCAGGGGAATTGGCACGAGGTCTTACATCGCTTGAAGCTGGTGACCGGAGTGGATATCTCTACACGTCCGGTAAGAAGGTCAGGTAAGGAAGGGAAGGCGAAGAAAAGTACGAGTCTAAGAGCTGCTGCGGAAGTGAAGAGGGTGGCTTTCCGCCGGTCTATAACCATGTTCAAAATTTGGAAATGCACACCCCCATTTATCGATCGACTTGAGGTCCGCAACTCCGCCTGGTACTCTCGCGCGCGCCACTCTCGCGCGCCAAGTCCCACTTACTCTACCCCTGAAAGCTGAAACTACTTACCTTACCCGTATAGACTGCCGATTTCAGCCCTACCTTACTAGCAACAACACCAAAATTTACCATTTGGTATGATTAATCATGATAGCTACATCACCGTCTAGCATCTTTAGAGTACCCCTGTCAGGCTTTTCATTGGTGCGCGCTTGTGTTGCGGCTGCTCAACAGAGTATCCATAGGATGGTAAACAAAAATTCGGCGGGGTAGGTCGGTACAAGTAGGGCTGAAATCGGCAATCAATTCTTCCAGCACCACAGGGGCGAGTGTTCGCCAGGAGTCCTGCGCTCAACGGATCTAGTACCTACCCTTGGAAGCCAAACGGGCACTTTCCACCGACTTGCACCGCGCCGGCAGGACAAGAGGAGCCCTTCGACAGGTAGATCGGTAACGATGACAGGCAAGCGACATCCAACGAGCCGTCCGCATTGATATTGACCGCCGAACCTCCAGCCTTGCCCTCCAAAGTGCAATCATAAGCGCCGTCAAACAGCACTGACATGTCCACATTCGACGTTTCAATGTATTTCAACAGACCATATGCACTTGCCTCGTACCCGACTTCCTCTATCACAGGTAGCCTCCCCGAAAACAGCACCCAGTGGTCGGGCTCGTTGATTTCATACTGCATCTGGGTGACTTGACTCCAGTAGAAAGCTTTGTCGTTATGGTCTTTGCAGACATCGCCGAGAGATGTGCATGTGCGGCTGTGCTGGAAGACCTCTTTGAAGAAAGTCTTCGTCGTGGGTGTTGCAGAGAAGTGGGACTGCAACAGGGTTTCGCCGACCAAGTAGGTTGTGAAAGCGGATGTTATGCCGGCAGCTGGCTGCGGGAGATTAAAGGAGGTAGGACCAGAGTAAAGCCCATGGGCAGCCCAGGAAGTGAATGTTGGCACATCGCTCATGATAAGGCTGAGAGCTGACTGTAGCATATATCCAGTACAAGCAGTCATGTTGGCCAAATCAGTCTCTGTGGTCATGTAATCGCTGATGTTATATGGTGAATCCAACAAGATGGAGCTGACTGCTTCTGTGTTCTGTAGGCTCTGTGTGAAAGCCTGTACCGCAGCGACATTGACATCCGGATTGATCCGTTGTGGTCCGCTCGCTAAGACTGACGGTATCTGCCGAACGGGTTAGTGAGCTACTTATTGAGGGCGAAAAGGGCAGCCAATTCACCCCCCAGAATGGTAATCCAGCCAACAATGCCTTCAGTACGTTGCCATTGTTGAGTACCGCACCAAACTCATATCCGGCAAGGATTTGATGGAGTTTTGCGTATTCTGAGTCGCTTCCATCAATGTCACCGCTTTGTAAGGCTGAAAAGAGTGATCAGCGCTGGCCGCGATTTCGGACGCAAGGAATCGCTGATGACAACTCACCAGCATAGTACGAGCTGAAAAGATTGTTGATGGCTACAATGTTACGCACGACATATCCGGCCTTTGATGCAATGCTCGGGCCGAGGTCGGAACTTATCTGGTTCAAAATACATTGCTGAAAGTTGAGCGTAGTACAATCTGAACCTGGTTTGGCATACGCAAAGCGTAGGAAGCATGTTGTCCACGGCTCTTGGGGATGGCAGCAATTCATGCCGTCACTACCAGGCACCTGACAACTGGGCACGGTCCGGTTCCATTCCGCAAGATAGCCGGAAATGTTCAGCTCATCCCAGCATGTGGTACTTGCAACGCTGCTGAAACTGGTACAATTGACCGCTTGTCTGGTCTCAAGGTAGGCGAGGTGAGAGTCAATATATTCTGATGAAGCTGCTGCGGAAAGGAGGCATGCCGAAGCTGCAAAGACTAAGGAAGAAGAAAACAACATTTTGAAGGAAAGGGTATATCACTTCGTAAAAATTGGTTGTGCAGTCCGAGACCGTTCGCTCTCAGTCTTGTTGAAGTAGACTGCTTGTAGATTTTCCTTCGTCGTAATCTCATCAGAAGAATCGCCCACAACAGAATCAGGAACTTGCATTTCGCAGCTGCAGAAAGAAAACCTCGTCGTCCCTCGGCGCCTTCTGCGGTCTTTACTGCATGTCGCTAAATCCTGTAGGAAGTGGATGAAGATAAGTCTATGCGGTAGGAAGTGTACAGTGCGCTTAGATTTCTTGAGGCTCAGATGTCGCAAACTTCCCACACATGCGCTACCGTCAGATCACATTGGAGCTTATATGTCGTCCATACATCTTTAGCAAAAGCTCCAGGACATTTCTCAAGAGCAGAACCAAAAGTGCCTCTCTCTCCGTGAGTAAGATGGAGTCCTTTTTCACTTATGAGAATGACCGCTAGCTCACTTTCGGAAGATCCAGATCCCTCTGCAGCACTGAAGTCCAAAGCGAGCTCGCGATGATGAACGTGCAGTTCCACCTGACGTAAGAAACAAATCCACCCATGCTGAGAACCAGTTTCCGCCACCTTCATTCTCCGCGCTTCCATGACGAGTCAGACGAGTCTTGCATTGTCTTATCAATTGAAGCATCGCCGACGATAGCTCTTCACAAGCTGCTTTGTCACCGGTCGAGAGACAGTGCTCTTGTGAGTTACTCCCAGTCATACTGTTACGACGGAAAAGGGCTTTCAAGCATGTGGGTAGCTTATACCTTGGTGAGAGTATGTGGTCCGAGCGGTAAGCCTGGAAGTAGCTACATACGGTATTATAACTTGTCTTCCTCTCAAGCTATCAGTCGTTCAGTTGCCACACATAATCGTTCACAGTGCATTCATAGTCTCTCATCGGTCGTTTTGATTTTCGATGTGAAGTGTCCCATACTCTCTCTATGGGACGTGATCCCCGAGACGGAATGAAAAGGCGTATGGATTGATTAGTACTACCGTTGTGTTTAGGTATAGTGTAACGCAATGCATATTTAGCACAGCCGATACTGAATCGTGAGTTGAATGAAACTACTTTGGCCCCTAGGGTCCCTGCATAAGAAATAAAGATTGGCTGATAGGGAGCGAAGCACCCCAACTAGGTGGTCTTGTGGTGGAAAGGGTTTAAGGGACATGACACTCTAGGCTTATGCGGTGATATTGATGGAAGCATCTCAGCAGCATCCAGCATGACGTATCAAAACATTCAACGAAGCAGCAGATAAGAAGGATATTTGGTTGTGCTCGGCGTCAAGCTCACGTTTGAAAGATGTCGAGCATCACTTTATGGTGCCTAGCTGAGAGCCAGGAACGTGACGCTTGAACTTACGGACTCATCATTATCAACTTCCGATTGCACTGGGTAGGACAAAAGTTCTATGCTGATCGAAAGACCTGCTTCATGTACCTCAATACGAAGTTGAAGGAAGGAGGAAGAGTAAGGCAATTTACTTGTAGCCCTCTTTTCTTCGCTTGCGGAACCGTTCCGCCACAAGGCATCGTCGTCATTTCCAAATCTCGCTTTTATGATATTCCATGTCACCATCATCCGCCTTGAATTCTGCCAGCCTCGCTAACATCTTCTAAAAACCCTGGCGTTCTCTAACACCTACATGTACCTCCTGGTCGCCCTCGCCCGTAGCTATGCCACAGCTAGCACGCGCTCCTCAAGACTTCCTCCATCCAAGCCGCCTCTCTCTCTCGACCACTTCCTCCTACGCCAGCGTGTAATATCCCTCTACCGTAAGATTGTCCGTGCATGCCATAAAATTCCGCCTCCAACGAAGGAAGAGATGAAAAGATACGCAAGAGAAGAATTTGAGCAGCATAAAGCCGTGGAGGATTTGAGGAAGATACGGTATTTGCTTAGTACTGGGAAGACGGAGTTTGAGCGATTGGGAAAGCAGGTCAGCAATATGGGCTGATGATAGTATGACACCTTACCCAATGGGAATTGCTGCGATCAAGACCAAAGGGGCGCCCGGGTCTGGTTCAGTCAGAAGGAATCCCATCTCAAGCAAGCCGCCGGAGGGCTGAGCAGCTGGATCAGACCATCCCGCAGCAGTGTTCAGGCCACAAACAGACTATGGAGGACTACACTTACCAGCCCCTCTTCTGAATGCGGGAAAAATCGTAAGCTTGATTGGTATGCGTCCTGCAAGCTCCTCTGCTGACTCTGTAGTCTGTGGACTGCGTCCAGTGTCCCTTGACGAATACCCTGATCATGCCGCAGTATCATATACTTTGGGCGATCCAACCTTGGATTACAGCATAACTCTTGCCCGTCGCCGGCCAATGATTACGGCTCATCTCCACTCGGGGCAGCAAAATCACCAAATCATACAGCCCGATGCCATCTGTATCGACTGGTCTAGCATTCTTGAAAGGCAACCAGGAGGTCTCTATCATGGGCACGATCTACAAGCAAGCCCGACACGTTCTTGTCTACCTCGGTGAGGCTGGAGGACACGACGCCCAGGCAGTCGATTTGATGAAGCTGCAGCAAATGGGTGCATTCATAGCCGATAGCCCCAAGCAAGAATTTAAGCCGCCCCCCTCAACGGCGATGACCTAGTACATTCGCTTGGTCAATATTCCATCGATCAGACCCTGCAAGCTCTCGAACTATATATACTTTGACCGTGAAGGCGACCCTGATGGCCGGTCTCATGACTTGAGCATTGCCGGCTTATCTTCCCCTGCAGACGCTGCTTGGGACGTTATATAGTCCATGATACTGCGTCCGTGGTTCACACGCACGTAGCTTGTCCAGGAAGCAATCCTATGCCATTCATTACTGTCGTACTTGGCGCTTCGTCTTTCAGATGTACACATCGTTTCGACCCCGACCTCCACACAGCCATACTTACCACAAGCTCTGGCGATTCAACGTTCAGATCTTAGAATCGTGAGGACGGCAACCTACAGGATTGGGCTTGAAGACTTAAAGCCCGTAGGATTCTACGATCATGTTCCAGCAAACGCAGAAAATGCCTCGCTCTACGGCTTCAATCCCACCATTCCCGACCGAACTTTGGACGATGGATGTTGTTCAAATAGTCATGTGTTCGGACTTTGAGCCTTGCTACGTCCTTGTGTTTGATGGAACCTGAAGAAGTCGTCCACAAAAATTGGGTTTGCAATCAATCAGGCATGTTTCTCAATATGGCATGTGATGTGCCACTAAATGTAAAAGATGCTTTTCGAAGACGGATGCACTGATCAAGAGGCTTTTTTGAGAAGCCTAACTTGGTAGGAAGTTTGCGGATCATAGCCAAAATACGGATTTCGGATAGCATTTGAAAATTGGTTTGAACCACGAGTATTCTTATTCATGTAGCTCCGATCTACAAGGGGAACTTCCCAAATCGCCTACAACATGATGTCCAGAAACCCCCAGCTCGCGCTGTCGGTGTCTATTATCCAGAGCTCCATGTTGTGATATGACGCCACCAGAAGGAATTGGGAAGATGAGCGCATCTAGTCGAGAAAGGTGAACAGATCCGTATGCACCACGTTCAGAGCACGGAGAGCTTCTCGTTCCGCGATCACGCACGAGATGCTGATCTCACTCGCGCCTAGATCTGTATAAGCACGAATTCCACACCGCGGGTCACAAGGGAGGAGAGCCCACCTTGAGAGATCATCTCAATGTTGATATTGTTATCTCCCAGCGCCGTAAATAGCCTTCCCGCAATCCCAATACTCCTCTTCAACTGTAGTCCTACCAAGCTGATGATAGCCATATTCTTCACCACGTCCACACTCCCGTACTCACTCAACTCTTCAATCGCATGTTGCAAGTCCTTGTGCTGATTCAACAGGTCTTCTGCATCCTGTTCTCCGCCTCGGTCCTCGGGACCTTTGATAATTGGCATCTTAGAGTGCACCGCGAGACTGATATGGAACTGGTTCTTTTCGAAAAGATCGATGTTCAGTGACCAAGAAGCAAGGATCTTGCAGATCTGCGCGAGGAAATCTGCGTCTTCGACTTTGCGGTGGGAGTGGACGTTGACGACGGTGATTTGGTGCTTCACTGTTACGGCCGTTGGGCGCTTGGGATGGGATTGTAGGTTGGCTTGGGAGGATGGAGTGATAAGGGTGCCGGGGCTTTGAGGCGCGAGGACGTTCTTGATGCGGATTGGGATTGAAGGGAGACATTGCTCTACTGTGAAATGATGGATTACTTCAGAACCGTAGAAGCTGTGGAAAGGTTAGCATAGGTCGTTACGAAGATGGTATAGACGTGCGTTAGCTCATTGGCCTCTCTCGGGTCAATGGATGATAATAATTTGGCTGTTGGAACCTTGCTTGGATCGCTGTCCTTTGTCAGCTTAGGCAAGACGGAAGACTGGATGAGTATGGGCATGTTTACGCAGTGTAGACGCCTGAAACTTCTTTCCAGACCTATCCACCAATTAGCGGATTTGTATCTGGCACTTCGTTGCGTATATTAGGAGCATAAGGGAAAACCAACCTGTAGCTCCTTCGCTTTCGTTCCGACAGCAGCGAGCGCAGCGCACAGATCGGAGTACCCACGTCCTAATTGCTTGAGCAAACCTCCTGGTAAAGGACCGAAGTACCCGGTTAAAACCTACCAAACTATCAGTCTCTGTGCATAAGGCGTGGCGGCGGAGTAGGCTGGGTCCATGTCATACCGGTACCTTGTCACCACAGAGCTCAATCCTCCGACTTATCGCATGAGCGACCTCTCGGTAGAATTCTTGATTAAACGACGGCGCTAGATCTGGTTCAATCACATCAGACAAATCAAGATATTGAGCCCGTATCCCATGATCTTCCAGAAGCGCCGTTAGATATTGAGCACTGAGCTTCTCCCCTACACTTAGGATCTTGTCCTCGGCCTCGGGAGGCACATCTTCCCTCTTCGGCAGCGAGTCGAGCAGCTTTTCAAGTGCATTACATTCGGCAGATATGTCCCGCTTTAATCTTTCTTCGATCTCTGGGTTTTTGAATTTCGCTGTGTTGAGGTGCTCATGCAGAATACCTGAGACAATGGCGCGATGGCCAGTTGAATTTGGTTTGACTGCCTCTCGGGCAGCTTTCAAAAGGCTTTAAGTAGTCCCATGTTAGCATTTCGCACGGAGAAAAGAGCCATCGGTCAGATCCAAATTGCTTTCTTGGCAATGATTCGAGGTACGACCGACCTGGTAGGACCAGATAGCTAGGAAAGGGCTTCATACCGATTAGTAGTACCCTCGGCTTTGGACTTACCACTCCTAGCGGAGCAGACGATGGCGATATTGTGGTTTTGAGAGAGGCTTGATCTGACAAAGAAACGAGTTCAGCGAAGCTAGTTGACGAAGGAGGAAGGGCTGACAATGTACAAGGCGATCCTGGCAATTTCTTGCGAAAACTTCCCAACCGAAGTACCTCCAAACTTCAAAAGTACACGCTGAGATGCCCTTCTGTGTTGCTCTTGGTGCTCAACCTGGGCTGCCATTTCAGAAATTCTTGTCTATGTTATGAAAAATTCAAAAGTCACTCAATCGTATGAAAGGAATTTGCCAAGCCGTTTAGAACTGCCCTTTGTGCAAGCGAGATTCGCCAGCTGCTGCCGAGCCAAACGCGCTGACTGTGCCACCATCATTCGGACGCGCCCTACGATGTAAAGAGCAGAGTCTACATCAACTATCAGATTTCAGGTTATGCAATCGAACCGGGAACTATTCAGATGGTGACAATCCGATGCTGTATATTCTTTGGCCTTGTGAGTATCGAGGTTGAGCAATATGACCAATCGTTCGAGCCAGATTGATTCCGTCTTCCTATCTTGCATAGATACCGAGATCATTCAAACCAAATTTGGACTGAGGGGGAAGAGAGGAGAACCCGAGGACGACACTAACGCCTTTGTTTTGGCTGGCGTGAGATTGGGCCGGGACTTTCTACACGAAGTGAAATTTCATTTCCTAACGTTGATGTTGATTGCTATCTCATGTACCATCCATGTTCTTGCATTATCCGTGCAACTTTAGTCGGTAACGCGGCTAGCAACATGAAAAGATGTAATGTTATATAATTCGCTAATTCAGTTCATGACGGGCCGTAATTCTCGCTGATGCGAGAGCATATATATAAAACCTCCTTGCTGACGCTCTGCTGAGCCCGGAGATCCGAAGCCTTGAACGACGCACGCCTCGAGTGTAAGTACTCCACTACATCTTCTTACTCGACGTCCCCCTCTTAAGCGCATTATACGATCTCACCTTCTCCCCGGCCGCGATCCTCCGCTGCTTGCGCCGCCAATAGCTCTCCTTGGACTGCTGTCTCGCCTTCTCCAAGTTACCCTGGTCGTACTTACGCCTGTAGTAGCCCTCCATGCGTCTCTCATTGATGCGCATTCTCTCCGTGGTCTGAGGCTTGGCGCAGGGTCTGCCCTTTTTCACTTCCCCGTTCGGCAAGATCGCCTTATTTTGAGATGGTCGGCTGCGACGGGATCTCTTTGCAATTGCGAATGAAGACGGTTTGTATTCTTCGTCAGAGTCAGGCGCATCGGAGATGTCGGAGTCGTTGTCACTGCCGGTGTTGGGGACAAACAGGTCGTCATGAGGAGCGCTTTGTTGTGTGATGTATCCAGGGAGAGCCCAGCCTTCGCGGATTGCAGTGGCAACCAAGTCTTCAGGGACAGCAGAGAGGGACAAGTCCTCGGGGTTGAAAGCTCCATCGTCTTGGTAGTTTGAAATTGGCTCATACTGAAACATCCCTGCTGTAGCCGGTAGAGGACCCATATTGCCATGCAGGAACAATGGGTGATCAATCGACGAGAATTGTTGCCCTGGCGGAGTCATTACTCCGAAGTTGTGTTGCGTCATCGTGTTGTCTGAGGGAAGTGGCTGCAGAGGGTAGTAGGGTGTGGGGTCAATTGGAGATTGAGAGAAGATCTCGGGGTCGGGGTAGTTGAATGGCTGTACTGGCTGCTCTAGAGGGCGCCATACCGAGCTGGGAAGAGTCTGTGACTGAGGAAGAAAGGAAACGTACCTCTGATCTGCAAGTGATGACTGTGGGGTAGTAGGTATGTCGAAGCCACCGTCAACGCTCTGAAGTGCCTGCTGGTTGAAGTCGAAATCATCGAAATCTAATGTTGCATCAGCCCGAGGTGCGTCAGCGAAGTCGCCTTCTGAAATGCCAAAAGGATACATGTCATTGAAGAATGGACCCTGTCCTGCTGAGTCATCTGGGTTTGTGAGGAGGCTGGGGTTCACGATGCTCTGATATTGAAAGTCGCCCATGTCGGAGACACCCATCTTGATGCCCTTCCTTAAGGGTAGTCTGTGTCTTGGTTGTTTGATAGTGATCTCTCTGAAGCGAAGGTCGTCGACCGACGTGTCTTGTTTTGTGACGGTATATATAGCGAAATTTCCTGTAGATGAGAAAGTGTATGTGGTTGAAATGCAGGAGAATATTGATCCTTTAAGAGAGTCGAGAAAACAGTGTTAAAGGTCGAGTCCCTTGGTAATGGGATAACGAGATCTCTTTGTTGTGATCTCTTTGTGCGAGTGCAAAGACAAAGGATAGAAAATCGAAGCAAGGCAAACTTGATCATGATTCTTTGTTGCTTGAGGCCGATAACAATGCTCTCATTGTAATCGAGGACAAAGGGCGCGGAGGCATCGAAGAAAGCAGAACGAGCGTACACGAGACTCAAAGGAAATGATGATTGGATGGTCTCTTGCACGAAGAAAGCTTCTTGCCTTGAACAACCGGTTATTGCCAAAAAAGGTTGAATTCGTCCTGTAATTGCCGCTCAGTAGCTATGAGGACGCGGTCAAGCTGCCAGTCAAAGTATTTCAGTGGTGATGACAGATACGACCAGGAGCGTAGCATCATGAACTCAGAAGCTATACCAGACCGTACGGATGTGCTGCTACCACATCAGTTTAATCCTCCTACAAAGGGTCAAGCATTTCTCAAGGTCATCGAGATTGATTACCAAACTGGCAGGTCTCCCGACACCAAAACGATCTAATACAGATTCCCTCTTCGCAGTGGAGGAGTGATACTTGTACGCTCGTGAAGCAATAATTACTCGTGAGAAGCCGATAGGGCATGGCGATTCTGACGCGCTAGCGGCGCGTATAATTTTAAGCATAGCCCTACCCTAAGCGCCAGCCGCAGTGGATGTAAGTATCATCGCTTGGCAATGCCAAGACTCTTGAGGATTGTGTGAATACGTAGGCCTAGTCAGACTTCCACACTGAACGATTACGAGATTCCAAGTCGACGGTGACAGTACTACCACCATCACTCCTTACACTGTCACCCTTCCAACCACAGTTACGACCACAATTATCCAGCGACTCCCGTCGCGCCAACACACTAGGTCACTTCAGTCCTTGAATCTCTATTACATGGTCCCTTGCATAATCCTACGGATTCAAAGACATTCCAATCTAGGGTGGAGTGTCTGATGTCCCCGCAAAGCCATTGCAGCAAGATTGGAAGCTTGATTAAAGATATGCTGATTCCGTATATGACCGTGCCCCGCAAAGCCATTGCAGCAAGATTGGAAGCTTGATTAAAGATATGCTGATTCCGTATATGACCGTGCCGGCGTGAATGTACTGCAAGGGTTTCAGCTACGAAGAGGAAAGCACTCTGACACTGGGCCACATACATATAGGAATGAGCCGAGGTTTTCGAGTTGAACGTCCCATTGCTTAGCTCCAGGAGCAATATCAGATACAAGCCAGCCAATGATGAGATAGCCAACAAGGAATCCCTGCGAAGTGTTAAAACAGACTTCGCAAAGCACAGAAGACACGCGCATCCCAAGAGGATTACGTCTAATAATTATCAGCGTGAACAGCCAGCTAAGAACAGAAGGGTCGTACAAGCTGCAGCCGCCATCTGATGCATAAAACGAGCTTTCGTGTAGATATGCATAGCAACAGCGAACGCGGACAGAAGCAGAGAGACTATTTCAACAGCTACGCCCGTGCGATGCGAATTCGACGGGACAGTGAAGTCAGGGATGACTCCCGGTGGAGGCTTAAGCAGGACCGTTGAACAAGGCTTGCAGTTGCTCTGGTGTAGCATTCGAGATTGCAGACATAGTGATTGTACAGCCTGATGATTTGATCAGGAGGAAGATCAAAATGCTGTTATCGCAGATAGGTAATGGAAAGCACGAAGGAAGAGTGAGTGTGTATAGTCCTCGAAAGTCCGGATACTAGTATTGAGGACAACTCAAGGTTCCACGCAGAGAGGCTGAAGAGAAGATGTTGTATAATAGTCCGGACTATTAATCTGGAGCTTCCGTACTCCGTCGAGGTGGCGGACTCTCGTCCAAACCAAGGATTGCGTAATTTTTTGCGGTGAGACCTGTCTTGTATCTAGTGATCTAATACATGAGACCGTGGCGGACTGCAATAAATCGCTTAGGTCCTGAACTAGGTGGAAAGGATCAGATTGAGATTATCAGACTCAGACGAGAACTTTGATTGGGATCCAAATTTGAATGATGCTGAAGAGATCGGACGCAGGATTATGTAGCTGACTATCTGTATACGTAAGTAATAAGACGGAGAAGAAGGTATTTAAGAGACTTTTTATCAATCAAAGGGCGTGCCCAAAAAAAGCCCACAACACTTAGATATTGACCAACTACATACTTCTTACATCATGTCAATTACATGCGCTATCACAAAGAGTGGCAAGCATATTTTTTTCGCATACTGAAGAAGATTGAGCCATAGGGATCTGTTGAAGATATGACGGGTGGGTGAATACCTTTCTCCTGAGAGGTTTTTCAATGGCGAGGAGCCGTAGGTTTCGGCAGACCTTTCGTAAATAAAAGAAGGGAGGAAAAAAGAAAAGAGAAGATAACCCCACCAGGCGAGATTGGGTTTAGTTTTTTACTTTTCGTTTCCGATTCATACGGAAACAGCAATCATAGATTGAGATAGCGGAATAATTATTCGGGGACGATCCCTATATTAACTTGTGAGGTACCTAAGTCTCTGTCCGATTCAAGCATCCCTAGTACCTATTGATTTGAGGCAATATAGGACCTCAGTAGTATCAGTCTTAAAGCTCAGTCTCTGATCACTAATTATGACCTTTAACTTCTCACGTCACGCGTGTGAGGGAAACCGTATCACGTCAGACTTAAATCTCAAAGCGACTATCGAGCAAGATAACACTGGCTGCTCAACTCCATGAAGCATTGAACCCTACTAACGCGTTCTCCTAATGTCCAATGTCGAATAGCAAAGCTGTCCAACCCTGTCGAGCGAGATGACCACTAATGGCCAAGGTCTATCATCAAAAGTTCATGAGGCCGTCGTGGAGGTTGCGTCCGTGCCCATCATCAGTGATCATGACACTCTCAAGTATCATCTCCTCGGACCATCCCTCACGAAGGCGGGACAGGACACAGTCGATCAGCAAAAGGTAATTGCGGATTAGGCTTGGGCTTTAATGTGGGACTTATGTGCTGACAGCCATGCAGGTTTCAGAGGTAATATACAATGCCTCCAAAGGCTCTAAGTACTTCAACAACGAGGAACACAAAGACAAGAACCTCACACAGAAGATCGAAAAGATCCTAGCCCGCAAACGGCAGCTCGAGCGTGTCGACCTTGCCTCAGACCTCCGGCGCGCCGATGAATACATTGCGGAGCTTGAGTTGTCTCGAGATCTAAGTCAGACTGTCGTTCATATCGACTGTGATGCCTTCTATGCAGCGGTTGAAGAGCTGGACAGGCCGGAACTTAAGCATGTACCTATGGCTGTTGGGAAAGGTGTCCTTACAACATGCAATTATCACGCGAGAAAATTCGGCTGCCGGAGCGGTATGGCAGGCTTCGTGGCCATGAAGCTCTGTCCAGACCTCATCTGCCTACCCTTGAACTTTGCGAAGTACACGGCGAAGGCGCAGGAAGTAAGAGAGATTTTGGTAGACTACGACCCGCGATTTGAGAGCGCCAGTATCGACGAGGCGTACCTCAACATCACGCAGTACTGCGAGGAGAAGCACATGGATCCTGAAGATGCTGTCTCACAGCTGCGGAATGAGGTCGCCGAGAAGACGAAAATCACCATATCCGCTGGCATCGCTGCAAATGCCAAAATCGCCAAGATTGCTTCCAATCGGAACAAGCCAAATGGGCAATTTAGAGTCGCCAACGACAGAGCCACCATCCTCGCCTTCATGCGTGATCTGCCCACCCGCAAAGTCAATGGTGTTGGTCGAGTCTTTGAGCGCGAGCTCGACGCTATTGGCGTAAAGACTTGTGGAGACCTCTACTCTCAGCGTGCCTACCTCTCCAAGCTCTTCGGAGAGAAAGCGTTCCAGTTCCTTATGCAATGCTACCTCGGTCTCGGACGTACAAAGGTTCAACCTGCAGAGGATTACGAAAGAAAAAGCGTAGGGACAGAAAGCACGTTCCATGATATGAGCGATAAAGTTGAACTTCGAGAAAAGCTTCGATGGATTGCTGAGGAGCTGGAAAAAGATCTCACTCGCACACAATTCAAAGGCAGGACGCTGGTCCTCAAGGTGAAGCTCCACACGTATGAGGTCCTCACAAGGCAGGTCATTCCTCCAAAGGCTGTCAGAACTGCGGTCGATCTTTACACATACTCTCTGCCGATGTTAACGAAGCACGAGAAAGAGATACCCGGCATGAAGCTCCGGCTCATGGGCCTCAGATGCACGCACCTGGTCAGCACTAAAAGGAGTGGCACGGACTTCTTCGGCATGCGGCACCCATCGGCCGCAGATGGCGAACCAGGCCCCGTAAACACGATAGTGGACGATAACGGCGAATGGGAGGTCTGGCCCGAAGAAGAGTTTGAAGAGGCCGCTAGACAGGAACGCCAGGACGAGATGAACGAGCTGGAGCAACTCAGCCAAGAACAAGATACGAATGGATCAGACCCTCCCACAGCAGAAGAGCAGCTCGAAGAAGCGAACAGACGGCATAAGCACGGCAGAGAGATTCTACCCAACCCCGATCCCACATACAGGGGTCCAAATAGCTCCGTCGGCTTTCAAAAGCCAGCTACAAACCATGTCCCGCCAGCTAAAGAAGAGGAACCGTTCTGGCCCTGCCCGATCTGCGCTCGGCCACAGTCAACCAACGACAAAGACTTCAATGACCACATCGATTTCTGTCTTTCGAAACAGACGATCAAGGAGGCTGCGACGGAGACCTCGTCTTCGCCTCCAGCCTTGGAGAAGCCGTTGTTAGACGGGCGGGGGAAGGAGAATAGCAATAGCAATAGCAACAGCGGTGGCAGTGGCAGTGGCAGTGGCAGGGGTAGGCCCAAGGGGAAGCGGAAAAGCGAGGCGGTGGGTGACAGGGGGAATAAGAGGCTTTTCTTCGGATTGCAGAGGACTTGACGGCTGTATATAGTTGAATGTCATGGCATAGCGATGGAAATGTATGGTCAATATGGGAGTCCGTCCAGGGCAGTGGAGCTAGACCAGGGGAAGGTACCCAGGATATCCGATATACCCCTACAGCAAAGCGATAGAAACAGCATGCATTAATGGCAGGAATCATGCCATAGTAACAATACAGAAAGCTGCGCCTTCGAGAGCGCAACTCCATTCCACCAAATGGCAGAGACATCACGCTGTCAAGGCCAAACAAGCCACAACCCAGTCAACCATCAGATCTCTCAACCAGTGGGACTATTCCTCAACCTCCTTCCCGCGCCCACATTCTCTCTCCCCTCCAACTTCACCATGCCGGCCCTCCCACCTCCAAACTTCTGCGGCAGCTTACTTTCCGTCGCCTGCCTCTTCAGAGGTGGCGGACCCATTCCCACTACTTCCGGATCTGACTTGATAGCTGTCGCTGCAGTGTGGGCCTGAGAGTCGCTGTTGTTGCGTTTGAGGGAGGCGTTGACGTTCAAGTCGATCTCGCGTAAGCTTGCTGGGTTGAGGTCTTTGGAAGGAGATGTCGGCGGAATGCCGTTGATGGCTGGTGCGTCGGTGTAGACAATTGATTTGCTCGGAGATTTGTTAGGGGAATGGGTGCTAATGGCCTGACGAGGTGATGAAGGAGCTTGCTTGCCAAGGATTTTGTCGTGAGGCTCGGTACGTGAAAGAGTGGTTGGGTACTGATATTGCGTCTTTCGGGGCGTTTCGCCAGTGGGGACGTATTCCTTTAGAGGTGCAGCTGTAATGTCGGCACGAAGCTCTGCAAGAGGCTGCTGAATTGTTGAATCAAGAGGAGGTAGAGAAGCCGATAGGGCCGTGCTCTGGGTAGACACATCGGCTCCAATTTCACGGACTCGGTCATACGTCGAGACAAAATGATCGCCAATGCTTGAGTAGGATTGGTGAACGGTAGATGCTAAGCCTTGCAACGAGGTAACATGTCTGCTGTGATGACGTTCGTTCTGAGATCGTGCTCGTGTCACAAAGTCGTCGAGTGCTTGCATCTGGGTAGCCATGTCCTTCATCTGAGCGTCGACTATGCGGATTGTCTCTTCATGGACCGACTTGGTCGTGGCCTGGATCGAGACGTTATGCTCATTGATGGCCTTCCAATCGTCCTTCATCTTGCTCTTTAGGGTGTCCTTAGATTTCAAGACCTCGCCGACAAGCAAGTTCTCCTTCTCTGACCAGACGTCCATATTGTTGTTGTAGTTCTCATTTGCTGTGTCAAGCGTCGATCTCGCAGACGTGATATCCTTTCGCACGGCAGTGATCTTCGACTCCCATCGTGAACCTTGCTCCTCGGCAGATCGATTGATAAGAGTTGTTATTTGCGCGAGCAGGTTTTGACGATCCTTAGAGGCTTGAGCGCGCTCTTCGTTGAGGCATGTCTCCAATCGAGCGGACACATCTCCATCTGCTTGGATCGCACCCTTTGCAGCAGCCGAAGCTTTCTGTCTGAGACTATCGGCTTCATCCTTCTGTGAATTGACATGCTTGACAAGCTCTTCGAAGAGGGTTTTAAAATCCTTTCCAAGCGAGCTGTAGGAAGTGTGGAGCTAGCAATCGCATCAGCTCACGACGCGAGCAAGCCAGGTCTTTCTATTGCTTACCTGAGTATGGAAAGACCCCAGCTCGTTGATGACTTCAGCTGATATACGTCCAGCAGCTGCGGATAGTCCATTCAGTCCTTCGCCAACTTTGCGCTTGACGTCTTCCCGAAGAACTTTGATCTCCTCAAGAACAACGTTCATGTCTTCTTTCGCCCCCGAGGTCTGTTGGTTTACTTCCTTTTCCGAGGCTTCGAAAGATGCAACCTTCCCCCGGAGTAGGTCTTGCGTAGCTCCTAGCTTCTGCAGTTCTTCCTGCACAAACCCCTGCATCCGGCCTGACAGGGTCGCTATGAGTTGTTCTTGCTGCGTCTTGAAATCTCCAAGTTTGGAATCTACGAGCTGAGTAACGTCAACAACTTTGCTTTGTGATGCCTGCCATCCTTGGCGATTAAGGGTTTGCAGGTCAGACTTTCTCTTGACCTTAGAGTGCAAGCCGCCAACATCAGAGACAGTCTTTGCAAGCGTCGAAATGAGTTCTCCCCCCAACGTTGTTCAGCTGCTCCTCTGTGACTTGATGAGCTTTCCTGAGCGTTGTTTCTTCAGCAAGAGTTTGCCGCGTATCTGCCAGCACAATCTCTGTCTTCTCCAGGACGTCCTTGGTCTCATCGAGGATTTGCTTCGTGCAATCGTTATCCCTTTTCAGGAAGTTGAAACTACTCGTCAGAGAAAACAACTCCTGGACTTTGTTTCTCAAGTTGGTTTCCATCGTCTCGATCCTGGCCTGCTGCTCTTCGCTGAGGATCCTTCGAGACTCGCTCTCTCCTACCATCGCTTCGTAGCCTTCTGTCGTCAAGTAGACACCGTTGCGCTGTCTAGTAGCTATGAGCTCTCCCTTTAGCTTCTCAATCTCCGCAGTGAACTCGCGAAGAAGGGTCTTCTTTGAGACCATTTGATTGACCTGGGGCTTGTTTTTTATGTTTTTGGCGCGGAAGGCATAGTCCAACGTCGAAATTGTTTCTTCCAAGTTACTTTTCGCCGGCGAGACTGTTGCGATGATGCATGTCTTCGTTCGACCGCCTAAAGAATCTTGCAAGAGTCGGGTGAGTTTGGACTCACGGTATGGAATATGTGAGCCTCTTTCGACGAGCGCGTTGATGACTCTGCCGAGAGTCAGTAGACTTTTGTTGATTAATCCCGCTTCAGCAGCACGCTTGTTCTCGGCTCCACTCCGTTGTATATTCTCGCTGCCAGCAAGGTCCACCAGATTGAGCTTCCCAGCACTGACAAAGTCTTCACCAGTTTCGGTGGTTCTCTTGATATAAGCAGTCATAGTGAAGACCGTATGGCTTCGAGAACTCAGATCGTTGCACTTTGTGGCTGCCACTTGCCGCTTGTGGCTTCCGTCCTGTAGCAGCTTGATACCATCTCTTGCGGTCTTGATGTGGGCCTCCTCCATTCCTTGGACAATCGTAGCGCTATGGCCTTTCTTTTGTGCATCGTCGTAGATTTTTAACTTTGTCGTGTCGTCTAAAGAGAGCAAGTCGCGTAACTCTTCATTATACAATTCAATGAACGAACATTTCACAGAACTCTCCGCCTCATCCTCTTCAAGCTTGCCGAAAAGGGAATGTAGAACTCTTGGTATGATACCAGCCGAGTCTGAGAGAAGTCCCAGAGTGTCTGACATGTCTCCGGACATTGTGTAGGTCTTGCCAGTGCCTGTCTGGCCGTAGGCGAATATAGTACAGTTGTAGCCTTGGAGCATCTGCATCAACTTGTTAGACTGAGGGATTGGAAGGTCTGCTGCAGTCCTTACCTCCTCCAGAATTGGCGTCACAACATCATCGTAGATCATGGATTGATCCGCAGCCGGCGAGAAGACTTTGTCGAAGTGATAGGTCTTGTTGCTCAGCGCACTGGCACCCATCGACAATTCCACATTCTTCCCCTTAACACCGTCTGTAGAGACAACCACTCCGCTATTCTCTCGCACTTCTCGATCATTGCGCCCACGACAGCGAACCACCACATGAATGTTTGTCTCTTCTCCATCGGCGTCGAAATCTCGCTCCTTTCGCTTTTTTGGAGACCTTGAATGTGATGTGTTCGTTGACAGTGACATGATGCTGTCAGCTGGTGAGACGGTACCTGATTGAGTTCTCGCATTGAGCGAAGGTGCGCTTGATTGTGCCCTGGCAGGCGCAGTGGGTCTAGACATTGGCGGTCGCATTGAGTGTTTCTTGTTCGCTAGGCCAGAGGCAGGGCGCGGTATGCCAGCCATTGATTCTGGTACTACAGCTCCTTTCTCAAGTAGAGTTCGCGATATCTGCGTAAGTATATCTAGTCAGAGAGATGTAACAAGTCGCCCGTAAACATGGCGACAAATGCCAAGCAATAAACAAAGATCTGCGCTAATGCAAGGGACCAGTCAGGGCCGACTTTATGCCGATGGGGCAGATGCCCCTCGGCCGCTCCACCCCTCCAAATGTCAGCTGCCCGTCTTCAGGTAGCAATCATGTTCTCCGACACTATTTCTTCCCAGATCTTCCATCCCATTCATGTCTAATCAGATACCGATTTGATACGATGGCAATGTCTTCAAACCCAGCGATGCAGGTGCACCCAGGCCGTGGGCTTGGTTTCCTCGGTAGGTAGACCTCCGTACAAGCTTCGTTCTTGCTAACGGACTATAGTCTTAGGAGCTTCGTTGCACGATGTCTTGACGCGACTGAAAGCCCAAGTACAGGTTTACCCTAGCATAGACGTCTCCCTATTCGCCGTCCAAGCCTCTTGCTGCCCCTGTCATACTGAATCTACCTCCGAATGGCATTCGTCTACGATTCGATGGACCTGACCAGAGACTTAGGCTGATCGAGGTCCTGGATTTCACCAAGACGCAGTTGATCTACAAGAATACTGATCTGGTCAAACTACCTGAGACAACAGGGCCAGATTCTTCAACATCAAGTTCAAGCGGCCCAGCCTTTCGACACGTCTACAATAGACTAATGGGCCCCGCGTTTCCTGGAGAATACATTCCACCAGCTTCCAACTCGGGCTTGACCCAAGGATTGTACATACTATCATACCCGGGTATCGCATTCACGTTTCCATTCCAGGATTCCAAATGGGATCCTGCCAAGGACTTTGTTTCTTTACTTTCTTCCAACGCTGCTGCACCCGGGAAATCGATGGCGATTTTTGGTGGTGAATCATGGCAAGATGCGTGTCACGAGTTGATGATTACTCCATGCTCGAACCCAAGGTTACTTGCGCTTTCGAGCCGTGGTAAAGAGTTCCGCCCGCGTGAAGTTGATCTTGTTAGAATTCGTGGCAATGGTTGGGTAGACGTTGAAAGAGGTGCCAATACCCCGAACTTTCGGATCAGTCTGGGCAAGACCACTCCACAAGATCTTGTGGCAGAATTGGGCCCACCAGACGCGATATACCACAAATCTGACCGGAAGATGGCTGTCTACAAAATTCAGCATAGGGATCGAAAAACCGCAAGGACCTCATCCGGCACCTTCTACACTAATCATGAAGACATGACCGATACTGATCAGTCCTCTCTGCAATCAGCCACCGACGACTCAGACGCTGAAGAACGGTCGAACGCTACGGGTAACACAAAGGCAGACTCGTCTGCCGAATGCTTCTACAACTACTTCAACCATGGGTTTGATATCTTCATCTCACGGCCCACCCTTCCGGCCCCTAGTTTCTCTTCTGCTGAGAATGACGGCAGAGAGATGGTCGAAGTAGGGGGAGTCAAACCAGCTTGTGGCAACAAAGGTTCTCTTGCACGCCAACGTGCCAGGATCTTATCCATTTAATCGCTATCGCCGTAGTCGTTGGGTCATTGATGTCCAAACCTCTGAACTCGACGGTGCCTTGAATTCGGAGACTCCCTTTACCACGCTGTCTGGATCCCTCCGGCAGATCTCGCGAAACCATTCTGCGGGTGAGAACGGCGAGGACTCACTCCAAAGGCACATAGTGCTCAACAGAGAGGTGGCAGAAAGTCCAGGGAGCAGCTGCGAACTGCTCGGCGGATGGGAGGAAAGCACAGACACCCAGCGAGAAGGCTCAATGGACAGTACGGCCAGAGATGGTCCAGGGTACGGTAACACTAAGCTGTTTGGTTTTCCTGGGTTATTGTTCGAGGTACTCAGGAATGATGCTGTAAGCTGCTTGACGGTGTATTGACGGGTGGGAAGAACACGATAAATATTGCGAAGATACCCCCTTCTAGCGTAGTGATGTTGGAATTAATGACAACGTATCATTCTTCACCATTAGAATACAGACGAACAGCCATAATATTCCCATGTTACACATGCAACAATCCGTAAGTTACTTTCAACGCTATGGAAACATAACCTGGTCTTGGTTTGAACTCAAGAAATTTCAAGCATTCGACTTTTGGTGATGACTAAGCTCGACTTTGACAGAATTAGCTGGTTGTATGTCACGATATTGATGAGGGCATGCTTGGGCCCAAAGCCTTCTTGGAAAGGACCTTACACCTTCCCAAAGTACTTTCCCACCCAGACCCGAAGGTATCAGACCGCCCAACATACATCAAGCGATGTACAGATGACCCTATACAAGTGGCAGAAAGACCGACATCCAACCCCTACATTTACACTACATGACGGGCCTCCATACACTTGAATGGTGACCTACACATTGGCCATGCGCTTAACAAGATACTGAAAGCCATCCACCATGTCGTGTCCCTTACGGGAGGGGTAAGTGGACTGGGTCCCGGGTTGGGATTTGCCATGGACTACCAATCCGGCTTAAAAGCTCTTCAAGAGCAGGAAGAAGCCTGGCATTCTGACTGAGAAGGCGGACCCGGTGAATATAAGAAATGCGGCGAGAAAGCTGGCAGTAAAGACGGTGGAGAAACAGAAGAAGTCCTTTCGAGAATGGGCGATTATGGCAAGATTGGGACAGTGCTTGG